TTGATCAATACAATGATCCACCATAACTCCAAAGGACTCATGATATAAAATGCTATCTACCTCCAGAAAGAGAACTGCTATACTCAAAGTGCAAAATAAAGCATATTTTTTTTCTTTTCCTTATTTTTCTTTATTCAGAATACGGCTAATCCAGAAATGTTTTGTGTGACTATATATGTATAATGACTATAATAGTTCTTGCTTTCTCTATAGTTGCAGGAGGGAGGGAGAGCAGGCCAGAATGTGGAACTGAAAATAAAAATAAATTTAAGGGAAAAATAAGTAAATGTGTATGAACTGAGCTCAGTGGTAGCTCTGTAACCTGGAGAATGTGCTGTAACCATACTCCTAAATGTCCTTTTTGTGGGAGGCAATTATTTTAACCCAAAGCACGGAATTTGATTCACAGCATATGTTACATTACCTGAGAGAAGGGTCTTCAATATTTAAAAAGGCTGTCATGTGGAAGAAGGTCATGCCAGATTAATGTTATTTGCTTTTTTGATAGGGTTTATAAATTGGTGGATAAGGGTGATGCAGGAGAAATAATTTACCCAGACTTCAGCAAAGCACTTGATAAAGTCTTTCATGCTATTCTTGGGGTAGGGGTAGGGATGATGGGGGGGGGGATGTGAGTTGGATAAAAGGTTTCAGTTATGTGGATTTGGAACTAGCTGAATGGCCAAACTCAAAGAGGAGTTCTTAAGGATTCCTTGTACACAGTATTTCACATCCTGATTCTGTTCTTGGCACAGGCTGTCTGTCCCTTATGCCTAGAACGCTTCATCGCCACCTCTTAAAATCTCTGGCTCCATTCGAAACTTAGCTATCATGTTGCCTCCTAAAGCCTTTCCTGATCTCCCCAGCTGGTAAAGTCCCCCCAAATTACTGTGTATTCACTTAGCAAATATTTTGTTCACTTAAATGGATTCTTTATGTTTCCCCCAACAGAAAATAATCTCCTGAAAAGCAGGATGTGTTTCGTTTTTGTTCTTTTACCTCTAGCACCTAGGACAATGATTGGCACACAGTAGATGCTTAATAAATATTTCTTGATTGACTGATTGATGGTTCCATGTCAATTTGAAAGGAGGTCTCCAGGGTAGTGCCCCCCTGGGAACTGTGCTTGGCCTTGTACTGTTTAACATTTTTACCAAAGATTTGGAGAAAAGGCAGAGGCAGCATCCTTAACAAACACGCAAGTGAAACAAAACTAGGAAAACTAACACACTGGATGCCATCAGGAATCTGAAAAGGCCAGAACCCTGGGCAAAATCCAATATGATGATGTTTAACACGGCAAACAGAGTCTTACACTTGAGCTCAAGAAATCAAGTTCACTAGTTCAAGAAGGGAGAGGTATAGTCAGAAATCAGTGTGCCTGAAAAAGATCTAGGGGTTTGAGTGGATCACAGACTCAACACGAGACACCAGTAGGGTAGGAAAGCTAAAAAAAAAAAGCTTATGTGATCTAGGACTATACCTAAGAGACACAGCTTCTAAGAATAGGGAACATTGCTCCTTTCTCTCTATTCTTCTCTGGACAGATGACTAAAGCTCCACTGCCTTTCTTTATTTCTGCCACACATTTTAATGGCTAGGCAACTTGAAGCATCTACTGTGATTATTCTGATAGGAAAACAAAGGTTAAAACTGTGTGCAGTAACAAGCAAGACACCTAGCAACTGGGTGAAAGATTACAAGCACAGACACTTAGTATCTATCATTATATATTATATTATTTACATATTAATTATATATTAATCTATTAATCGATATATAATATCTATTCTAGTATTCCCAGAGTGGCATCTGATATTGGATATAGTAGAGGGAATCTTAACACCTCTGACAAACCTGAGGCTTCTTGAAGACCCTAATAAATACGACTTAAGAGACTAGCAGTTTATATAGAAAAGTGACACAGCTTGCTCCAACACACCCTTACTCACCTAACCTTAAACAAACCATTTAAAAGAAGCACCATGGTATAGTGAAGAGAACGCTGAACTTGAAGTTGGGAAGATCCAAATTCGGTCTCTGTCATTTAGGCAAGCGGCACTTAATCTGTGGGACCTTAGGCAAGTAACAACCTCTCAGGGCCTCAGTAAAATAAAAGAAGAGGGTTGGATTCCATTGGGTTTAAGGTCCCTTCTACCTCTAAATCTCTAATCCCTACGGATTGTAACTGAGCCAATCTATATATAAGGAGTATCTAGCTAGTTCCCAGGCAGTATTATAAACTATTATTAGTGGTTTTTCAAACCCTCTGAAGTTCTCAAATTACCTGCCTGCAAGTAAAGGAGATAAAGTGTCAGAGGCAGCTGGCACAGTGACATAGAGTTGACTTTGAAGCCAGGAAAACCTATTTCTAGTCCTGCCTCTGACACATGGGACCCTGGGCAAGTAAGTCCCTGAACTTCTCAGTGCTCTAGGCAGCTCTCAGAAGGTGTCGACATGGGTTGGTAGAGGGTGTTTACTCATCTGGGAGCTTCCTAATCACTGGACCAGTCTCTGTTGCTAAAGTAAAGGAGAGATGTCCCATAAACCTCGACTCCTCTACCACCGATGGCTATTTCTGGAGAAGTTTTTTTGTGACAAAGATCACATGGGCTCCTTAGTCTGTTTCCATTTGTCTGGTTAGGAGGAAACAACAATGTTTAGTTCACTTCTGACTATTCTTGAAGTAAGTTTTCAGAGATATTGTAAAAGGCACAATTATCCTTCCCTGTACCTGGGCTGAATAAAGTGAGTGTAGGGGACACTACTTCCACTTTGTTCCCTAAAAACAACAAAGGAATCTTTCACTGAGGACGATTAGAATAGACCCAGAAGTGGCACATTAGGTAACTTATACCTTGAAGAGCTGGGGGAGTTAAGAGTTAAGTTCAAGTTACAAGGATTTAGGGGCAGGGATTTGAGAGGTCCCAAGATGAGGGATGAGAATGTATGGTCTAGGGGGAAAAGGATTAGCTAGTAGATAAAACCTGAAACAGATGGGACTAGAATAGGAGAATGACAAGAGGTGGGTTACCTTCTGGGAACAGAGTACGTAATAGCTCTGAAGCTAAGGGAATGAGATGACCACTTTGGTTAGCAGAAAAAGGGACGTTGGTGACAACTCTAATCAGAAAAGACAGTAATGTAGTGACAACTGTTGGTCAAAGGGGACTAGGGATGGGATGAAAACTCTGGTCAGAAAGGATGAAAATAAGGATAACAGATTTGAGCAAAGGGATAGGGAAAGGGGGTGACATCCCTGACGGGAGAGGATGGAATGACAGTTCTAGACAGAGGGGACAAGAATGAGGTCCACCAGCTAATCAGTCAGTCCCTATGCTCATGACAACTATCAGCCTGAGATTTTGTCCATTTAGCGGTCTGTTCTTGCCATGTGATCACTAGGCCTGTTACCATGTAGAGTCAGCCCCTCCCTGTATCCATCACTGCCAGTCATCCCATAGTCAACACCATGTCTCTTGGTCTGTCAGCCTGTCCCTCACTGTCAGTGATCTGCTCATCACCGTCAATCTCCATGTCCCAATGCCCTATATCTATCATGGTAACAATGAGTGTGTCCCTATCAGCCTATCACTATGTCCCAAAGTTTTATAACTACCATGATAACGAGTGTGTCCCTATCAGCCTGCCTATCACCATGTCCCAATGTCCTGTATCTGTCACAATAACAAGAGGATCCCCATCAGCCGGTCCCTGGGTCCTTCACTGTCTGTCAACCTCTCCATCTGTCCGCCTGTGTCCATCAATCCCTTACTCAGTCACTGAGTCCATTAGCCCAACTCATCAGCCCATAACTTGGTTACTCTGTCAGTTAATTTACAACCTATGTCTATTACCATGTCCACCCATCTGCTGGTGAGCCTCTCGGCCTGATGACACTGATGTGCCTGTCAGTCTATCGCTGGGGCCTTCGCTGGAAGTTAGTCCCTTGCTGTTTCCGTGTCAAGGTTACTCTCTTCTGCGTCAGTCAGTCCCTCTGTCAGTCTGTCCTTTTTGTCAGCTGGTCACAATTCGTCACGCCCATTGCTCTGATGCTAGGTCTGCACGCCCAGCACTTTGCCATCTCATCACGGCTGGTCAGTCACTACCCACCACTCTCCTGACCCAGAGTTAATGTAAATGCAGATCACTGTGTGAACATTAGAGTGCTGCATAAAAGTTGATGACGATGATGATGATGGCAGTGGTGGTGTCTGTTACCCTGGCACCGTCCCTAAGTCACTTGATCATCAGTCTTTTTGTCCCTCAGCCTGCTGTTGTGTCCATCTGTCCATCCATCCTTAGCTTTGGCCTCTGGGCCACTGTCAGCCTCTGTTAGCACCTGGAAGTAGTTAGTCCCAGCAACTGTCATTCTCCTTGTCTCAATCACTGTCTCTGCCATGACTGGGTCAGTCTACCATCAGCCACCCTCCATGGAGGTGGCACAGTGGACAAAGTACTGGCCTTGGAGTCCAATAGGCCTCACTTCAAATGCTGCCTAGCTGTGGGACCCCCCTGGCCACTTGGTATCTCTCCCCCACCTCAGTTTCCTCCTCCATAAAGTGGGCACACCTCCCAGGGCTGCTGGGCAGGGTCATTACCACTGTTGCTCAGCCCCCCACGTGGTCACCGTCAGTGCACCCAGCACAGAGGGTCAGGGTGGGAGACCTGAATCCCTCAGCCCTGGGCTCCTGGGCTCGGGTCCCGGAAAGATGCTGGGCCGGCTGCCTCTCCCCCCACCGGGGTCCCCTCCGAGCGATGCCCCACCCCCCCAGGCTAGAGCCAGCCCGAGGAGAAGAGGAGGTCACGGACCTCGAGGGGGCCACGACCCGGGGTCAGTGGGGCCTGAGCCAGCCCTCAGGCAGCCGAGGAAGCTGAGGCCCGCAGGGGAAGGGACTCGCCCACGGTCACTCCGGCGGGGCGGGCGCTGTCTCTCCCCCTCCCCCTCCACCCCCCCCACCCCTCCCCGCCGCCGCCGGTCAGCCAGGCCCTCCACTCACCCGCGGCGTGACAGGAGATCCATGGGCGCGGCGGCGGCGGCGCCTCCTCCTCCGCCTCCTCCTCTCCAGGAACACAATGACAGCCCCGCCACCCCCACCCCCCACCCCCGCCCCGAGCCCTGCGGCGTCTCTGCGCACGCGCTGCGCCGAGGAAGACCCGGCCCGGCGGGCGGGGCGCGAGGCGGGGCGGCGGCTGTCCCGCGGCGGGCCGGCGGTCGGGGCGCCGGGACCGGGAGCTCCCCGCGCAGGCGCAGCGAACTCCCGGGCGGACCGCGGCGGGATGTGGCCGGACCGAGGGAGATCCCACGGCGCATGCGTCGGATGGAGGTGGGGGAGGGAGAAGAGGAAGGAGAAGCAAGAGGAGGGCTCGGCGGTGCACGGGGCACACGCGAAGGCTCCCGGCCGCCCGGAGCCTCGTCCTGCCCACCCTCGAGGAGGTGCACGGGAGCGGAGCCCAGGAGGCAGGCGGGGAGCCGCACCAAGGAGCCACCGGTGGGATCACAACGTCTGTGGGCCAGCGTCCTCATCTGCAAAAGGGATAAACTACCCTCGAGTTATTTCAGAGCTTCCTAGGCTCTCATGCAACTCAATCAACAAACATTTATTAAGCGCCCACCACGTACCAAGCACCTTGCCAGGCAGATAAACAGAAATTAAAAGAAAGCTACAGAACTGTCCCTGCCCTCAAGGAGCTCACAGTCTAATGAGAGAAACAATGCGCAAACAACTGTACAGACAAGCCAAGTGGAGACCATCTAGACAGGGAAGGCGCTAGACTGGAGGGGGGTCGGGAGGACCTTCTTGCAGAAGGCTGGGGTTTGGCAGGGGCTTCAGGGAGGACGGAGGCAGAGTTCCAGGCCCGGACAGGGTCCGGGGATGGAGTTCCATCCCTGCACACGGTGGTCCAGGTCCTCCCTGGTCACTGCCTAGCTCTGGGCCATATGGGAGACAACATGGACAAACCCGAGAGAGGGATGTTATGGAATGATGGATGTAACAACAAAAGGCATCCATAAAATGAGAAAGGAAAACCATTCTCTAGGGACCCCATTTGCCTCTAGAACAGAAGACCAACCCTCCACAGCCTGGCTCTGGGATTCCCCACTGGCTCCCCTTCATGCACTTTCTCTTCCAGTCAAACTGGAACAGGAACAGTGTCTTCAGAAGGGGGCACCCTAGCCTCCCCTCCAAACCTTGGCATGGGATGTGGGGGCTGGGGGTGGTTGCTCTCCCTCACCTCCGCTTCTGAAACTCCTTCACTTCCTTCCTGGTGCTCCTGGCAGCTAGGGCTCTCCCCCTCCTCAGTTATTGTACTCAATCATTTGTGTCAATGTTGCCTCAGTTAACCCATCTGTAAAATGAGGGTGTTACACTGGATGAACTACAAGGTCTCTTCTGGCTCTATGTTTATGGCCCTTCTTCCTCTTCCTCACCCCAGTAGAATGTAAGCCCCTTGAGGTCTAGGACTCCTTATTTTGCCTCTTGGCCTCAGTGCCAGTGCCTTAGGTATACTAGTTACTTATTAAATGCATGCTACGTTAACCCACTTGCAGAAGACTGCTAGGGGGCTGACATGTGACAATGTATGTCAAAGTGCAAATGTCAGCTGCCATGACGGTGATGATGAAGATGGTGATGATGAAGATGGTGGTGATGAAGATGATGGTGATGATGGTGGTGGTTGGTGGTGGCACAGGGCTCCATATAAACACACACTATGATGAGATGAGATGAGAAAGCTGAGAAGGTGATTTGCCACCAGGTCACACAATTAAATGAATTGTTACTGCTGAAAACAGACCGGCGCCTCCCATTCCCCAATTCAGAAGGACTGCGCCAAGCTTTCAGCGTAAGACTTAGCTTTCTAAATCAAAGTGCTGCCTGACACACTGACAGACTTCTCCTCTCCTTGTCACCAAGAGCATTTACAGAAAAAATCTCCAGCTCTTCCCCTCTAGACCCAGGAGCGTGAATTGACAACAAGAGAAGACTGACCCTCTGTCTCAACAATGTGAGAAGGCAGCTTATTTTACAGACAAATAATGAAGACTTAGTGTTTTATTATCACTGAAATACTGTACTAGGAAAAACAAAACAAAGATTTATAAAAAAGGACACTTTATTATACCTTTTATCTGGTAGGATGTCAGTGCTCTTTAAAATCCTACTATTCAAGTACAAATGTTTATGTTTACAAAGTATTTACAATTTCAACCTTGTTCCTGTATGTTTTAAAACACAACAGCTATCCGATTACAGTGTTGTTTGTTTTTAAGCCAGCATTTTTATTTATTAAAAGAAAAACCATTCCCCCTTGAGGCACAACATCTGAACAGCACTTGGACGCAGGCAATGTGCTTCCCCACTGAACGTTTTACAACACTGTCTGACCTGAATGAAAACAAATGTCTCTTAGAGAATAACTGGGTAACTGGTTTCAATGGTGGCCGAAGTAAAATCTCACAACGGTTTTGCTGCTGTGTACCTGAATATACCCTTGAATCATTATAGCGCAATAAGAGAAGCCTGATTTGCATGGTAATACAGAATTTTGCTAACAGTAACAGTCTGAAACTTCCTAGACAACTTTGCTGAACCAAACTTCATTATCTTCTTAAAAACAGAAAGCTTGACCTTTCAAACATGAAGCTAAGGAAAGTGGATGAGTCAGAACACTGGGAATGGAGTGTTAGTAACTCAAATGACTATGTGGAACACTACTTAGGGCACTAGGAGTAACCTTTCAATGCTATACTCTTAAATATGTACGCTCTTGGTATAAGTCCAGTGAGCACGTCAGTTCAATTTATGTGTTATTAGGATTACTGAAGTTTAACTAAAATCTCCTTGCCAAGGATATGGAGACCAGATGCCTTCTCACCGGCAGTGACAGGGACAAGAATTACATACAGCAATTATAAAAACACCAGTATTTAAACTTTTAAAAGTTTTTTTGCAATTGGCTCTAAGTTGTCTACCAGACTGCTATGGGATAACAGGGGGCTTTTATTTAAACAATTAATTACCTTTTGAGAATTCTTCAGCATTTCTAAAATAAATGCATTCAAATTCTATCATCATTTTAAAAGGTTCACTCTGACGATCTAGAGAAAAACTATCAGGGTGGGCAAATGGAAATAAGTTTGGAGAATTCCTATACATTTTAATTATGCAAGTTTAGAATACTTGTAATATTCGAAACTGTCATACTGAAAAGCAGCATGCACAATGTGACATTTTCACTTCAAGTATTTCTGTGTGAACAATTCACTTGAAAATCAAAATTTTAACAAATTATGAAATCTCATAAAAGTAGTGAGTTGCTTTAGTACTCCATTCTTTTTCAAACAACTTCAATTTTATGATCTTTAAACATATGATCTTTACTGTCTACCTATTTACTCAGAGCTAGAAAAGTGTTTGATTATGTCCAAATAAATCTGCAGGATGCTAGTTTTTTTTAAATTGCAAAGTCGATTAATTTCTTTGACAAATTACTTAAGAAAACTTAAAGGAAAAATACTGCATTTACAGAGGAAAAATAGATTTTTCAGTAAAAATGTTAAGGTTTGAATGCTATAAGACATAACTGGCATTTGTTAAAGGAAAAAAAAAAACCAGTATACCCTTACCCTTCCCTGGACATAAATGAGCAAAATATACCCATGGAGAAAAGGTACTATTTAGGCTTTTTCCTTTTGCATACTAAAAATATGGCAAAAGATATGTATGTTAGATGCCATCATCAACCAGCATAGCCACTTAACATTCCATCCACTGCCTTCCCTTATTTAAAACAAACACATCAACAAAAAACCCTGCAACAGGAATCTTCCCTTTTTCTCCTTCAATATCATACAGCTCCACAAATAGTAGATGGTTAAGGTTCTCACCTTTACTAGGCTGAACCAAGATTTGCTCAAGTAAAGACCCTGGAAAATGAAAATGCGGTGACTGCCCAGAACATCCTGCTTACTAAGACTAGTGTATTTTTTTTCCCCAATGTATCAAAAATTTGTACACATTTACAATACATAGATCGCTTGGTCTATTTCTGGACCCTCAGATGCTCCATCTACATACATATAGATATATGTTTATATAATGTTTCTCAGCTCCCCTGAAGCTTGGACCTCCGAAAGTTCTTGCCATCTCTACTCTCATTTCTCCATCTAGCTCTCACTCTACATACACTGAGACTAAGGTCACCATAGATTATACAGCAATAAAACAGGGGTGCCTATGACGCTTCTATGGCACTTTAGCTCTAACTAGCCCAAGACATCAGAGTCCCAACATTTTCCTGAAACAATCTGAAGCAGCCCAATGCATGTTAAAAAGGCAATACACAAAATACAGGGAATGCACCTAGAATGTGCTTAGATGAACAGCATTACCAAACATTTCCTTTAAAAATATGAAAACGAATCAATTTTAGAAAGCACAGAACACAATGGCTACTCTTTGGAATGAAAACTCAATTACAGGTGACTGACTCTAGCTGTTCCCTCCACTAAAAGGACCATGGTTTGTCTTTTCTGGATAAGGTGAAAGAATTAAGTTAACGTCTTATCTAGAATTTTTTTTTAAATTTTAAAAAGACTTTCCATTTTATGACTCACTGCACAAACCGATTAGCACAAATGTCATGTGCAAAATATTGTATTACTACAAAGAAATTCTACTAAGTGGCTATCAAAACCCAGTACTAGTGCTCTGGAGAAAACACTGCCATGAATGAAGAAGGAGAGTACTGATCACCATGGTCACTGTTTCCATTAGTTATACAGTACAGAGAGGCTTTCAGGAAGGATCACTTTTCTGTAAGAGAAGGATACACTTTAATAAAATAATTACACTACTTTGTTTTGACAAGAATTTTCCAAAGGTCGTGTGTTTTGGTGTGAGGATGGTTCCAAGGTTCAGAAATAAATAGAATGTCCTCTATGAAGACAGTGGTTTTCTGCCTTAAGACCAGGAAATAGAAAGGGTGTGCCTATTTTGCAGCTGGAGCGTGACCAAAGAAAACAAATATCCCCGCTTTTCCCACGCTCGGCTCAACTAGGCTTGTTAGCTGTCTTTAACCTGACAGTCGACATTCTCATTTGTAACTTAGCCTGCTGACTCTGGCCATCAGAGCTGGCTGGCCCCTGGGCGGGGTTGGGTACACCTGGGGCCTGAAGCTGCGTGGAGGCTGTTGTCACCACCTGCTGTTGGAGGAGTTTCTGCTGAACCACCTGAGCTGTTGCAGTCACTGCAGGGATCATTTGGACCTGCTGACCTGCAGTTGTTGCTTGAGAGAGTGTCACGGTCTGTGGTGACGCCTAGCCCAGAGAAAAGAAAAGACAAGCTAACTGAAAAATCTCACATATGTTATGAAAATGCTACAACAGAAACAAAAAAAAATGTGTGGCTAGGGCCTCTGGGAAAGAGAACTAAATGAGGAGCTTCTTTGAAAACTCTGAGTTCCTAGATGTAGAGGTAGAAGGGAGCCTCAGGCATCCCTTCAGCAGTCCAACCCCTTCATGGTACATATGAGGAAACTGGGTCCCAGAGTGGGAAGTGCCTTGTCTAAGGTTACACAGGGAGGAAGTGGCAGGACTGGGATTGTCTCCCCAAGGTCCAGTGACTTCCAACCCTGTGTCCTTTAGACTGTGCCACACTGGCTCACTCCATGTATGAATTTATGAAACCAAAACTGACAAATTAAAGCTATACATGTTTTCTCTTTTCTCCACCCCCTTCTCCAGTGAGATATCAGTTCTTTAGAGGCAGGGACTCTTTCAATGATGTCTTTATATCTCTAGAACCTAGTACAGGGTCTTGCACATAGTAGATGATTAATAAATTTTTGTTAAGGAATTCATTTAAAGTGAGGCCTTCAGCTTCCAGCGACATGTAAATGAGGAAAAAACAAAATCCCTGCTTTTATATAATCCCCAGGTAGTCTGAGTGGCCATAACTGCCATTTGATAACACTAAAGTAAAATGAAAGAATACATATTGTCAAGACTTTATGTCCTTGAGAAAAAGATGAAGAAAGACCTCATCCAGGAAATGAACACATGGTCTACTTCTGCAAAGTTTAAGATGCTTTCGCTTGCCTGCGTCTGTGCTAGGACTTAATCATAAGAGCAGTATGACAATTTTTGTCTGAGATTGTTTTTTTAAATAGATACTGTGGCACAGCTGTCAGTCACGGAGTTGAGGTTCACCCCAAAGGCAATGGAAGGCCCCAGCAGGGGCGAGCAGCCTGCAACAGAGCACATGTAAGCCGTGATGGAGAAATGGTGGAAAGGATGTCATCAAAGAAATGTATGTGTAAGAAAGAAACTGGGCCAGTCCTGTGATGGGGGAAAAGGATAACCAAGGGGCAGCCTGTATGCTCCACTGGCATCCTGGCCACATCAAGAGGAAGGAAGGCCATCTGCTCACTGAGTGAACAGGATGAGCAGGCACAAATGGGTGGCAATCTGCATCCCTGGAGAGAATACCCACACTGGTGAGGTCAACGAGCTATTTGAGTACAGAAAACATGGGCCCTTTTTCAGTTAAGACTCTGTTTTCATGAGGAGCCAAAAAAGATGACCATGTAACAGAACACAGCTTATTCTGGACTTCATAAAAAGGACTGAAAGTAAGTCTAAAGCTACAAACACACCAAAAAATGCCATGTGTTTTCAATGTTATCAAGCTGTTTTCAGATCTTACCTGTTGAGAAGCAGAGGCCACCTGCTGAATACTGGCCACGGCTGTTTGCTGTTGGACTACTTGAGGAAGCTTTGCAACCTTCAATATAAAAAAGTCTAATTACAAGAAATTCATGTACATTGTATCCACTAACTAGTATCCTTTCCTTCATCCTCAATTATTTTTGCACAAATATGATTACTACCAACAAGGTCCAATTTATAAGATTTCCTTGCAATTTGAATCTTCACCAAGTGTTGATTATTTCACTACAACCTAAAATTGAAAAGAGCTACATTCTAAACTTCCTAGTTTTGCAGATTGCACATATATCCAAAATTACCACTCTGGAGAGTCACAAAGAGTGAACAGGAAAACAAAGATACAGATTAACTACTGCACCAAGCATGCTAATAGATACTCACTTGTATCTGGGTCTGCACTTGCTGGGTCCCCGCTAATTTCTGAGCCTGGGAAATAGGTGTAGTAAGAAACTGGGTTTTAATTGCTGGCTGGGTGGCATAGGTTACTTTCTGTTGTTGGCCTTGGGCAGTTATCTGTTGCGCAGTTATCTGGAAAGAAAGACATGATTCTAAATGATGCTAATTAAGTTCTGACTTAAAACAACATCATCAAAAAATAAATTACCAGCTACAAAGAGACTAGCCAATTTAAATTAAAAATTAACTTCAAAGGAAACATCATTTTTAGATTAATTTAGACTTCGAGGATCTGGGATTTCATCAACATAAGCGATTCTTTCCACTATCTCAGATCACAACCCTTCTACAAATTGAAAGACAGCTACCAAGAGTAGATGTGGCCATAAAAAAAAAATTCATCATTTATCTCATCTAGTGATAAGCCCCCCTCTGACCACAGCTTGGCTGATACGTGAAAGACCACAGGCAGTCTGCTGCCTGCCTGGTTTATATGTAAAGGCTTTTCAGACCTGCCAAAGCTTTTTGAAGAAATAGAAGAATCGTTTTTTTAAATGTGGGGGAGTAGTCACTAACTACATAGTCCATGACACTCAAAACAACCTCACTTTTGTTGCAGCCCTAAGTATGAGCCCTATGATTAAGTATGAAAATAAAAAGGAGAGAAGAACTGGTGCTCTCTACATCAGGGCTTCTTAAACTTTTTCAACTCTCGGACCCCTTTTTGTGTTCCGGCAGCGTTCTTTGGCATGGCATGCGCAGTGCAAAGTGCACGGGCTTTGTGTTCAGAACCAAGACTGCAGTGAAGTTGCATGATGAAACATAGGTAAGTGCTGCCAGAAGCACCTCAGATTCACTACAGGCTTGATTTTTAATTAATTTTTGGTTGTTGCATGTTCAGAAACCTTTTACTGTTGCCAAATTTTTTGCAACCTCACTCACAGTTTAAGAAGCTCTGCTCTACATGAGCACCAAAGGACATTAAACCTAATACGTCAAAATACCTTTTGTGGCGCAGGAGTTTGACCTTGAGCCACCTGGGGCTGAATGGCTTTCTGCTGTTGAACAGCTTGCTGCTTGAGCTTCAGAAGCTGCTGAACATGCACCGGTTGTGCGACCACAGTTTGCCCTATAAATCACCAAACACTCTATTAAGACAAAGAATATGAGACCAACCTGACGAATGTATCTCCACTTGTTGGGTCCCTTACTAGATGCTACTCAACAAGAAGCCTGTAGATGCTGAGCATCGAGGTCTACAACCGCGTTGAGGATTATTTTTTTGATAAGATTTATAAAGCTACTGCAAGAAAATTTAGCTCAAATTATGTCCCTCTATTTTTAGCTATATTTAAAAAATAACTTTTGAAACCTGGACATTCTAGTCTCCTTGTGTCCAATTATCTGGCTGCTGGCCCAACACTTTTTTTAGGTCCTAGTTCAGACGTATTATTTCATCAGTGAAGGGAACTCCATATGTGGAAATACTTTCTACCGATTCGGATCACTAAATCATCTGTAACTTAAGGCTTAGCGAATTGCCTGAGGCATAAAGAGGTTAAGTGATTTAGCCAGGATCACACAGCTAGCATGTGTCAAGAGGTAGGACCTCAACCCAGGTCCAGCCTTTTGGCAGACAATGACCCCAAGGCCTATCCTCTATCCATTATGCTACGCTGCCTCTCAAATGAGATAATTATAAATAATTATACTTGCTAAAGTTTCAAAAGTTCACACTGATAGAATAAAGCCAATAAAACATTTTTTTCAATATCCTACAAACTTGGTAACCACAAAAACAACTGAGTGAAAGCTAGAGAAGTAACTACTGCCCAAAAATTACTATTGGGAGAACTTCCAGAGAAATACCTGCTGTTTTCTGTGGCTGTCCAATAGCAACACTAATCCCAGCAACATTCATAGGAAGTGTTGTGACCCCAGCTGATGATACGACAGCTGCTGGCACAGATACAACTGGTGGTTTTGCCAAAGCCACTTGAGCAGTCTGAGTTGTTTGAGCTTGGATCTGCCCTTGAGCTTGTAACTGGGAAGTAGGAACACGAGTCTAAACAATAAGAAATAACAGATTATTTAGGAAAAACTCAGAATTCTCTAACCTTCATCACATCAAGAAACTACGCTGCGCATATTTTATGGCTAATATCAACTAGCCAGAAAGTACAAATGACAGGAAATGACACAGGAAAAGTCTTAAGTTCCTTATCATATCCCACCAAATAGCTTGGCTTCCTGCATACATACGAACATGATTATAGCAAAATTAGCTCATTTCAACATTAACCATAGATCAGAATTCAACTACACCACATTGCCACACACTCAAAATTTTTAAGTAATCCTGAATGCCATGCTAAGGATCTTGGACCTTAATCAACAGACAGTGGTGAGACTCTGAAGGTTTGAGAAATAATATGGTAAGAGTTGTGTTTTGAAAATTAAACAGGCATCAAAAACATTAAGATGGAAATGATTCACGAGATGGACTGGAACAGAGTGTCTGCATACAGGGAGACAATAACGTAAGTTATTGCAACAATCCCCAGGTGAGCCAGAGAGCCTTTACAATAGTGGCAATAGGTACAAAAGGGAAGAGATTGATAAGAAAAGTTAGAAAAGAAAGACTGACCGAATCTGGTGATGGATTTATTTCTCTCTCCTTGACATCTATTTCTGATCTACAAGATTTCTGTTATTTCTCCTCTAAAGCTCTTTCTTTCTATGCCTATGGCCACTACTATAAATCTAGGTTCACTGACTCTCACTGCAATTACTGTAATAATATACTCTCTGGTCTTCTAACATCAAACTCTCTACTTTCATCCTTCTTGCTGCATCTCTGTTAAGTTTTTTTTTAAGATCTTTTTTTTTAAAGATCAATATTACTAGAAAAACAACTTTTACTGCATTATGCCCTCCTCCCCTTATCCCATTATCCCCCAAAAAATCCGTGAAAGCACAGAACACTAAGGTATGAAGGTGGTCCCTGAACTTCCCTTTGAAGGAAAAGAGGGAATCTCCAAGGCAGGGGTAAGGAGGGAGGGAGTGCATTCCAAGCACGGGAGATAAGACAGCACAAGGCACAGAAAGAGGACATGGAGTGCTTATGAGAGGAACAAAGAGAAGGTCAGTTTAACTGTACCACTGAGTGAGGAAAGAGTGGTAAGGGTATGATGAGGCTGAAAAGGGAGGTTTGGGCAAGGTCGTGAAGAGTTTTAAAAGCCAAACAGAGAAGTTTATATTTTATCATGGAAGCAACAGGGAATCATAGCAGTTTACTGAGTAAGGAATGACAGAGAAAGAGCTGCACTTAATGAAAATCACTTTGGCAGATGTATGCGATGGAGTAGAGTTGGGAGAGACTTGAAGTAGGGAGAACAGTTAGGAAGTCACTGCAACATTACAGGCCAAAGATGAAGGGGACTTGGACTAAGGCTGTAGCTAGGTGAGCAGAAAGAAGGGCTCACATTAAAGATGTTGTAGAAGCAGAAATTGCAAGGTCTGCTAACTGACTGGATGGGGCAGGGGTCGTGAGGGAGAGTTAGAGACTGAGGATAATACCAGCAACACACTGGAAAAATGCTGGTGCCCTTTTCAGCCAAAGGGAAGTTTAGAAGAGGGGTAGATGTGGAAGGGAAAGAGAATGTGTTCAATTTAGGTATGTGGAGTTTGAGATGTCTCTGGGACATCCAGTTTGAAATAACTGAAATTCAAGGGAGAGAATAGAGATACAGCTGAATACACAGATCTGAGAGTCACTTAAATAATGAGATGGTAACTGAACTCCTAAGAGCTGATAAGGCCACTGAGGGGTGTCTAGAGAGAGAAGACAGACACCCCCACATTTAGGGACCTGTTAAGAATGATAAATCAGCAAAAGAGAATAAGAATAAGTAGTCAGACAGTAAGGAAAACCAGGAAAAAGTCACATCACAAAAACCCAGAGTGGATGAGATGGTGGTCAATTGTGTTAAATGCAGCAGAAATGTCAAGAAGACCCTCACATCTGGTGATTAAGAGATCACTGGTAACTTTAGAGAGAGCTGTTTTGGTAGAATGTTGTGATTTCCAGATTGCAAAGGATGAGTAAGAGGAGAAGAAGTGGAAGCATTGCAGATAGTTTTTCCTAGGATTCCCTGGATAAAAAGAGAGGAAAGACAGGACAATAAAGGGGATAGAGGACAATTACTTTCAAGGGGGAAATCTTAAGACCCCAAGACTAGGTCAGTAGAAAGTGTCTGACTTTTAATGACGATGACCAAACTAAAAATGAGAATGTCTTTCTCGCCTTGAAGAAAGACTTAGACTCAAGTCTCATCTCTGAACACACTGGCTGTGTGACTCTAAGCAAGCCACTTAACTTCTCATGCCTCTAGCCAATAGTCTAGAACTCCAGGTTGCAGAGAAGATGCTGACCTAAAATGGTACACAGTTTCCTCAGCCAGGAGTTCCTTATGTCAATGAAATCATAGGTCCAGTCCCAAACTCTTTGTTTACAGCTGACCACATTGAAAGAGGAAATGCTCTATTTCTTCCAAAGTGTGGGGACATTAACACTTCTATTGCTCTGTCTAGTAAATAAAAAATCATAAAACTTAAACTATGTATATGTCTTTCACTCTGATGCAGAATTTCATCATTTATTTCAAAATCACTAGAAAATGTAAACTTTGTATGGGACAAAAAGGTCCCAAGATTAGCTGAGGAATTCTACCTGTAAAACTTTTCTCCAAGAAAAAATGCTTATGTATTAATAAAATGCCTCTGAGAAGCCAAAAGGAAGCCTAGATTATTTTTTTCCATACCTTCAAAGATTCACCACTAGCTATAGTCCAGGACCCCAGGTCTGGCATTAGAGGTCTCCCCAACCTTACCTACCATTCATTCTTCCTTCACGTGTGCTCCCTCCACTGCAGCCAGTGACCACCTCTTCAGCACCATCTCAAGGTGGGCCTATCAAACTTCTAACAAACCTTCCCAAACCCCACCCCCCTCACCCGGGGTTTTATCTGCTCCTACACCCCTTACTCATGTCAGACATGTTCTTGACTGTTCTTTCAAAGCCTTGATTTATGTGCTGGTCTTCCCAACATGAACCACATTAAATGAAAACTTACGAGACGAGCAACCTGGAGGTTGGCTACCGTCGTGCCCGTGAGAAGAGCTCCAGGCCTGGGGGCTGCCACTGCTGCCAGCTGCGTTGTCTGCTGTGGCTGCTGCTGTACCTGAACCTGGGCAGCCTGTGGCTGTGCCCCCGGCTGGGCCTGCTGCTGAGGGCCAGACTGGGGAGGCAGCTGCAGTTTCTGTTTCTGCATTTTGATCAGATGTTCCTAAGAACAAATAAATTGTCCATTATTTTGCAAAATGTTTCAATTTTAAAACTTACTCCCTTGAAAACTGTAAACAAACTGATATGGCCCCATGCATAAATTAAGTCTTAATAACTAATGAGAATATAATCATTAATAATAACTAATCTATTACATACACATATACACTCTGCTTTATGGTTTGTTTGGGTTTTTTGTTTTGTTTTGTTTTGTTGTTAAGGCAATTGGGGTCAAGTGACTTGCCCAGGGTCACACAGCTAGTAAGTGTCAAGTGTTTGGTCTCAGGCCACATTTGAACTCAGGTCCTCCTGACTTCAGGGCCAGTACTCTATCCACTGTGCCACCTAGCTGCCCCTGCTTGATGGTTTTTAAAGTGCTTTCCATATGTAACAAGGATTTGAGAACTTACTGGCATCCTGGGATTTATAATCCAAACTAGGATGTATTCCCTTTCAGCACTAAGAGCAGTCGGGGACTATCATGAACTTCACATTTACGAAAGCAGATTCTGAACTTTACATAATGAAACGACAAAACAGATCGTGATCAATTAGCAAGTCCATAACAAGAAGAAATCAGCATTCCCAAGTGTCACAAGAAAATTAATTTAACAAATTGCAGTTTCCTCAAATAAATCAAGAAATACATTTTCTTTTAAAACTAAGCCTATTCACTATTGATGAAGGTATGAAGTAGTTCAACTATTCTGTAATTTGTAATTATGCTAAGAAAGTAACAAGATTTTCATACACTGTGATTCTGAGGTTTTACCACCTCAACAAGATCAATGACAAAAAGAAAGGCTCTATATACGCCAAAGTATTTACAGTAGCACTTTTTGTATTTGCAAAGAATTGGAAACAAAGCAGATGCCCATCCACTGGGGGAATGGCTAAACAAGTTGTAGCACAGCAAAGTAACAGAATATTGTGCTACTATAAGAAAAATGATACAGTAAATGTAGACAAGTACGGAAAGGCTTATATGAAATGATGCAAACTAAAGTCATCAGAACCAGAAAAACAACGTACAAAAGGCATACAACAATGTAAATGGAAAAAACAACAAAACAATAACACTAAAGGCTGAGCAATAATAACGACAAACCTTGGCCCCAGAGCAGAGAAGATAAGTCTCCCACCTTCTTAGCAAAGATGGGGGCTATGGGTGTGAAATACCATTTAATGCCATACTTGGTTGAAATGTTAGTTTTTCCTGAACTATTTTGTTTCTCCTTTTTTATTCTTTGTTACAAACACGTTATAAGAGATATTCTGGGAAGGGTAGAGGAAAAGGACACATTGCGAAATATAAGTGATGTAAAAACAGACGATATCAAGAGCTATTTAATTGAAAAATTCTTATGTCTACAAGAGGAAGAGCTATTTAATACAAATTCTGGAATGCTCTACCTCCCCATCTCTGCCTACTGGCTTCCCTACCTTTCTTTAAATCTCGGTTAAAATTCCACTTTCTAAAGGAAGCCTTCTCCAATGCCTCTTAATTCTAGTATCTTCCCAGTATTAATTATTTCTGACTTATCCTGTATACGGTTTCCTTTGTACATATTTGTTTGCATGTTGTCTCCCTCATTAGATTGTGAGCTCCTGTGGGGTGGGGAGGGGTCCCCCACCAGACAAGACTGTCTTTTGCCTCTTTTTACATCCCTAGCACTTAGCATGGTGCCTGGCACACGGTAGGCACTTAATACATATTTACTGACTGAATGAGTCCTTGTTTGATGTTGAGTCTGGGTGACTGCAAGGGTTAAGAACTCTGAGTCCATCTCAGACATATTACTTCAAGGTAAGGTTACAAAGCCTGGGGCAGGGATGAGGAACCTTTGGCCTTAAGGCCACAAGTGGTCTTCTAGGACCGTGATTGTAGCCTTCTGACTGAGTACAAGTTTTACAGAATAAATCCTTTCATGAAGGGGATCTGTTCTGTGAAGTCTGGATTCAGTCGAAGGATCACACTTGAGGACCTAGAAGAGTCCTAGTCCTGGGGGCTAGGACCAAGTGCTTCTCTTTTATCTTCATGATTAATGACCTTTCTCTGGTGAATGGTTCTGAATGTGTACATTCTCTTGTGAATAAAACCTAAAAACAAATTTAAAAGAGAGAAAAACTAGGTATCTAAAACCTATTGGTCTCCGGCTCTGAAAAATCAAACTTCAAGAATGATTATAGCATCTGACCAGCCCCCTTCACAAAAAAATTTCCTCATCAATTTGTCTATTTCTGAAATTCTTCCCTTGAGAATACACTGCTTTGATTGAGGCAAGTGTCCTGTGTTCAAACACAAGGTCCTTTGGTAGAGGTATTACATTAAGCTGTCACCAAACTAATTCACATTATTATATGTAAAAATTTGATGAAAAGAGATCTTGATAGGAATGATGAGATGGAAAAGGTTTAAGATGGGTATTGTATCAAAGACAGGGATCAAGAGTGGGGTGGGGAGGGAAGTATAAGTGTGCAGATTGGGTAAATATGGGCAGGACTCTGAGAACGCCAAGAATATGATGAGGATATTGAGCCTCAAGAGGAAAAAGTACTCACGGTACACACCTCCTCCTTCTTTACAACTCTGTCCATTCTCTGAAGCTCCTAAGGATTTTACAACCTGATTTCTCTCTTGATTTCTTTCTCTCTCTTTTACACACACACACACACACACACACAATAGTATCTTTCTAAACTTTTCTCATGCCAAGAGAAGGAAGAAATGGATAGAAGTCCAAGGAGATGAACTGGACCGGGGTATGCAAAGGACAGTGAGGTTAAGTAGAAAGGAAAAGAAGAAGCTAAAAAACCAGGAGCAGGACCTCCAGAATCAGGAAGGGTCATCAGTGGTAAGGTACTGTAATGTCCCACAAAAAACAAGATGCAAAAAATCAGCATTTATATGTAAAACATTCTCATTTAAAGACAACACAAACTAACTTTACCTATATAAACAATGCTAGGTTTTGATGAAGCAGGAAAAGATTTTGAATGATCCAGGCATCAGAGATTTAACACACTACATTGTTTTTATATAACAACGTTAGTTATGCCTAAAAAAAGTTTCCTATCATTAGTTCTCGGAAGCACACTTCTCACCGGTGTTAGCTTCCCCACAGCTTTCATCTGGGCAGGAGACTGGGCCTGCCCCTGGATCTGTGGGACTTGCACTTGGGCTGCTTGCTGGGTTTGCTGCTGCTGCTGCTGCTGCTGCTGCTGTTGCTGCTGCTGCTGCTGCTGCTGCTGCTGCTGTTGCTGCTGCTGCTGCTGCTGCTGTCTGAGAAGCTGGAAATGGGCTGGGGTGATGGCTTTGCCAGGAAGCTGAACCCCTGTGGCTGAAAAGACAGTTCCTTCATTAAAGGCTGCATCTTTCTTCCTACCCCATGTTCCACATCATCTTCAGATAAGAAGTAAGAACTATAATAGTACAACTGCCAAAAGATGAAAGTGAAATCAAGTCTTTACCTTGAGTCACCTGAGTCACTAAAGACCTGGTCTGAGCCTGCACCGGAGTCAGGTTGGTGGTGACCACAGCAGAGGCTGTCACAGAAGTGACAGCACGCACCCCCTGGGTGGACGCTAGAGACACCAGCTCAGTGGATGCAGCAGGTGTGGCGACTGTTCGAGGCTGCGCATGAACCACCTGAGCAGGAGAAGCATTGCCCGCAGCCTAAAAAAGGCAGAAAGGTGCAAACGTCAATTCATCTCAGACAATCTGGAAGCACTCTGATGTTCATGACGAATCTTCAAAGAAAAAATAAAGTTTTCAAAAAATAAGAAGGAAGAAAAATAAATGACAGAGTTCTTAAAAAGAAAAATATTATGCAAATATAAACAAACTAGTATACTACATTCTAATTTTACAGCTGGAGTTTCTGATGAACTAAAGTGTATCATATTATCGATACAACAATTTAAAGTATGGATGGCTGTATTCACTATCACATAATGCTTCATTAAAGAATTCCAACTCAGTTATGGAAATAATTAGTTTCCTATGTTAAGAAGAGAACCATTCAACTTTACAATAAAAGACCCACCTCACCTCCATGTCTTCACCTGGAGGACCTTCTTTTTTTCAACTGAGGATCAGGAAATTGTGACTATCCTCTGAATCTATCTTCTTGCCTAATATAATAACTACTTAAATAATATTTGGTGTTTTCACACATTAAGAATTGTCTTATTTAAGATGAAATGGGTGACCATTTTTTCCTTGCTTCTTGCCCTGGCTCTCACCCCCTGAAATGAATCCCTCAGATGTCTACAGAAGCACTGGCCATGGTCTCACAGTACTCCTGTTGCCACAAGCCTAGCCCATACTGCCCAATTCCACAAACACTTATTAAGTGCCACTGTGTACAAGATAAGTCTTCTTTCCTGGAGCTCCTGTCTTCACCTGGATATTTTTATTGCAGAAGAGAAAAATTAAGTAACAACAACATCTTCATCAAAATGCAGACCTGGGTCAATTCTCAGCAATTTTAGCATATGTCATATATGGGAAAAGCTGCTTTTTAACAGCTGAAAATGCTGGGGACTACAGAACTACGTTGGTAGAAAAGAGCAATTTTACCATTCCTTAGAAGCTTCATTTTATCTCCCTCTTAATAAGGTACTGACTACAACGTTTCCTCTTGGAATGCTGTCTTCCCAACCTGTCATTGAACCTCAAGATAATATACCCCTCAATGAACTGGGAGTGTTTCCCTCATTTCTATGACTCAAGAGATACAGAGATTTTTAAACTTCTGTTTGTGCGTGAGCTGGTCTATGGGTGAAATGAGAATGAAAAGCAGGGAAGCAGAGAAAGGTTTCTAACCAATGCTAGCTAGAACCTGATGGCTTGCCCACGCCAGAGGATCCTTCTCCCTCCTACAACAAGCAACATAACTTTCAGGGAAAAGCCAGTCTTGATTATCTTAACAGTGGTTAGGCCTTACATCAATGTTTCAAAGTGCTTCCCCCTCTTGCATCACCTCATGTGATTTTCACAGCTATCCTGGGAGAAAAGAAAGGATTTACTAGCCCCATGTTTAGAGATGAAGAAACTGAGGCTCACAAAGGGTCAGTGATTTGCTAATAAGTGGTCAGATCAGGCCTGGAACTCAAACTTGAGAGTTGGAGGGTCTTCCTACTGTTATTACCCCAGTGATTAATGAAAGGAACAATGACTTCCATTACTATCCAGAAGGTATGCAGCAGGACACTTCTCCTGAACATTGCTGTACTTGTGTAGCTCAGAGCTCTACCTCAGTGAGCCTCTTATTCATTGCTGGAGAAGATGCAAGGGCTGCTCCTTCACCCAGCAGTGAACTGATGTGGTACAGGAAGAACCAAAGGCCTTCTAATAACATCATAGCATCAACAGATTGAGAATTAACTCACGGTTAAATTTCCAGGCACAACTGGTGAAGCAATACGCTTGTTAATGGACTGAAAGGTGGCGGCGGGGACTCCAGCTATTGTGTTCACTATAACATTTCCACTAACCGTACCTGCAAAGAAAATATATGCTTAAGGAAAACACATAAGACTGGAATATGTTTTCTTATTTCAAAGCTTTCTTAGTCTTCTTACCAGTTGGCATGCTTGTCCCAGTGGCTGATGTTTTAATTGCTCCAGCCTGTTTTAGAGAGAAGAGTCAAGTGACTTAAAAATTTTAAGTTACTATTTTGCAGTTGAAAATATTTTGAGTTTCTCAAATACAAATAAAATACCATATAAGATGCATTTGTCATAAGAAAGTTATTTCCACATTTGGCCAGTGACTCATGACGATGGTGCTCTTGCATGGCTTCTAACAGTGGATCTCTAGAATGGGGTTTGGTAACCAGGCTGGTGTCCTGGCCTCCTCTGGCAGTCAGTCTGGGGAAGCCTAGGGATGCACCTCTGCCCAGAATCAGATAGTAGGGGGGAAAAGATGTCATTTTCTTCCTAACCAAGTTCATGGACTCCCTGAAATCTATCCATGGACTCTTTGGACCCATGGAGTCTGTGGACCCTAGGTTAAGAATTCTTGCTCTAGAAGAATAATTCTGTATAACAAAATACTTTCTTTAGTCCATGTAAATATAATGGTCACTGTATAAATGTTATCTGACTATGAGCTGTATATAAATGCAAATGAATTGGGGAAAAATGAGATAAGGTTTCCATTATTCTACTCTTTTCCCACCAATGAATCAATCAGCCTTCAAGTTCCTCAACTTAAACACTAATCTATACCAGAAACCTACCAAAAATATTCATTAAAACAACTACAGATTCAAGGAGTGAAGAGGTTAAAAATGAAAAATGCACATGTACAACATATCCCTTTTTTCTTTAATGCATTTGTCCCTTATGTTCAAATGCTGATTTAGTGAAAAGAAAGAAACTACACTTCAATATACGTTGTCCCTCAGACCAGAAATGTAATTTCTAGCAAATACTCACTACACTAAAATTCTACTACCTAAAAATTATTTGGATGGTCTATGGATTTCTCACTAATATTCTTGTACTTTGGGAACTTGAACCTGGCTGCGCCCCACTCAAATCTTTGTGACACAGGAAGCTCATGACGCTAGATCAGTGAGTCTTATTTGCTACTGGAGAAGCTGTAAGTACGTTTGGAGGATCAAGGCTTTATCTCCATCTTGGATTAACATTTAAAAGCTATACATGTTTACAAGAAATACACAGTATAATTTAAAACCCTTACTTAAAGAACTACATCCAATAGGTTACCCAGATGACCTAAGTAACAAGTTTATAGAGCTAATGAGTGCAAATACAGAAAGACCATTAGATTCAACCTGTTTGGTGCAAGGCAAAATATCACTCTGAAGAAAAGAAAAAAAAAACAGATCCTGTTTTGACTGAAGAATGAGGCTCTTTTTGGTTTTGCTATATTAGAGACAGAGGTTGCATAAAGGGATAGAGATCAAACAAAAAGACAGGAGATTGACTACCTTGGGGACTGATTCTACCTCCACAACTCCCCCCCCCATCACTCCAATTCAACAAGGGCTTTTTAATCACCTACTATGTGCCTGTCACCAAGGATACAAAGACAAAATGAAACAGTCCCTGCCCTCAAGTAACTCTACTGAAGAAAAACATGTATATACATCAACCTAAATAAAAGACATATACATAATACACCCAAAGTAACCTGTATGCTAGATTCAACCACACTCCAGGAAGAGAATTCATACAATTCAGAACAGGAAAGGTGGCCCCTGACTTGTTTAAAAAGAAGCCAGGGATTCTGCACGATGAAGGTGAGGACTAAAAGACAATGTACTCTAGGCAAGGCAGACAGATTACAAAGAGATGTAAAAATGGGAGAGGGAAGAATGTCTGCAGAGACAGGCTGGCACTAGATTGTGAAGGACTTTAAATGCCCACATTCTCTTTTGTCACAGGGCTAACTGGCAGGCCCCAGAGTTTATTCAAAAGGAAGGGTATGGTGAGACCCGAGCTTTAAAAATACCTATTTGGGGAGCAGCTAGGTGGTGCAGTGGATAGAGCACCAGCCCTGGAGTCAGGAGGACCCAAGTTCAAATCCGGCCTTGGACACATGACACTTACTAGCTGCATGACCCTAGGCAAGCTACTTAACCCCGACTGCCTCACCAAAAAGCAAAAAAACAAAAACAAAAACAAAAAAGAAAAAGAAAAAGAAAAAACCCCTATTTGGGAGAGGAGTGAGAGAGAATGATGAGGAGGCTATGACAATGGTCTAGGACAAAGAGCCTGAACCTACACGATGACTGTGGAAGTGGAGAAAAAAGGGGTCTCTATCTTTCAGGGGCTGGAGAGTTGGATGAGGGGCAGGTGAGAACAAAGAGTGGAGAATGAGTCTGGAGCTGTGAGCCAGAGTGACTAAAGGAATGGTGGTACTCTTGACAGAAACAAAGAAGTCAGAAAAGAGGAAATGACAGTTGGAGGAGGGGGAAGCTGAGTTTTATTTTGGACATGCCAAATATGGAACATCCTAAGTGGAGATTTCCAGCAGGCAGTTAGTTTTTTAGGAACACAGTTCAGGAGCTAGATAAGGACTGAAGATACAGCTCTGTCCCCTTCCCTCCATTTACAGGACCACCCCAAATGCAGACCCTCATCAACAGTCTCTTAATTGGTCTCCCTGCCTCTAGTCTCTCCAATCCATCTTTCACCTAGTTGCCAAAGTAAAGCAATACTCTTAAGTTACTCCCCTGTTCAGTTAGTTCCAGAGGCTCCCTCCTCCTTCCAGGATATGGAGGGGTCTCTCTTTGACATTGAAAGGCCTTCACAAACTGGCTCCTCCCTATGTTTCCCCACCTTATACGGCTGATGTTCTAACTCACCTGGCCTACCTGGTCTGCCTCATCAAGGCTACTGTTCTCCCTGTCTGTGCCTTCACTCAGCCCTCACTTCCACCTCTTGGACCTCCTTTTTCAAAGGACTCCCTTTCAAAGAGCCACTCAAGAGCCAACCTTTGACAATCTTTTCCAGTTCCATGTAATGGAATACTATTGTGCTATAAGAAATGATGAACAGGCAAACTTCAGAAAAGCCTGGAAAGACTTAAATGGACTGATGCTGAATGAAGTGAGCAGAACCAAGAGAACCTTGTACACACTAACAGCCACACTGTGTGATGACTAATATTGATAGACTTAACCCTTCTCAGCAATGCAAGGATCTAAGACATCTCCAAAGGTCTCATGGTGGAAAATGCTATCCACATCCAAAGAAAGAACTATGGAATTTGAATGCAGATGGAAGCATACTATTTGCTATTTTTTTTCTTCTGTTGTGTTTTGTTTCCTCTTTCTGATGGTTCCTCCTATTGGCTCTAATTTTTCCTTACAACATCACTAACATGAGAATATACTTAATAGGAACGTATATGTATAGCCTATATCATATTTCGTGCCATCTTGGGGAGGGAGGTGGGGAGAGAAGGGGAGAAAAATTTAAAACCCAAAAGCTTATGGAAGTAATGGTTGATAATTCAAAATAAATTAATTGATTTTAAAAAAGTGAATCTTTTCCAATTCCCCACACTGTTATTCTCCATTCTCATCCCCCAATCTCATGGCTAGAATTACTCTGTACTTATTCTGAATGCAGCAGGGCAGCCAAAGGACTAGCCCTATGATTTTACAGCTATAAGGAACTCCCAGAGGAGGAAATTCTCTCTACCAATGCAGGTTAGCACCTTTTCTGCAAGTTAGAGTCCTATAGAGATATCTATAGCACAGAGAGGATAAGGCGCTTGCCCCATGTCATACAGCCTGTGTGTGTCAGAAGTGGCACTTAAACCCATGTCTTCCTGGTTTTAGGGTCAGCTATACCATGGTATCTCTCATTTACCTACATGTGTGTATATGTGTCTATAGTACAGAATTATCTGGGTACATGTTGTTTCTCCCCAGGAGCAGCTCCTTGAAGGCAGAGACCTCCATCTTTGCTATCTCAATTCTGAGCATGGTGGTGCTTGGGGCATGGAACTTACTGAGTGCTTGTTGAATTAAACTGAAGAACTGAAAAACAGCTATTGAATTCACAAGCCCTTTGGCAGTCTGTAACTTAAGTATTTTTCAGTCACATATAAGCTCCCTATTCTTGGTTGATTCATCACTCCCATATTAGTTATGTACTTCATAAAAAAAAATCCCATTAAACAGTGAATAAAGTGCTAGGTAGGACATTGGAAAAAAGTAATTCAAAGCCAATTAGTATCAATTTCTTATTTCAAAAACACATTAAGTGGATTTTTAACAAAAAATGTCCTCCATGCTATGCGGTATTATCTTACCTACATTGCTACTATTAATTTTTTTCATTTAGGTTAAGACAACAAAGTTAAGTTTTTGTTTTGTGATTCAGGCTTCAGAACATTCACAACTTCACAAAAAAAATCACCTGTTTTTTGGTTCATGTCAATTGGTCAGAACCATATGTTTGTCTATTTTTGTTTTTAAATTTCTCCCTTCTCACCAATACTGCCGTGCTGGCCACAGTGGTAACTGTAGTCTGCACCTTTGTTTGCTGCTGCTGCTGCTGCTGCTGTTGCTGCTGCTGTTGCTGCTGCTGCTGCTGTTGCTGCTGCTGCTGCTGCTGTTGTTGCTGCTGCTGATGCTGCTGCTGCTGCTGCTGGACCCCAGGAGGCTGGGCCTGAGGCTGGGCCTGGCCTGCTTGCTGTCCAGCTGTTCCCTGCTGCACAGGCGGTGGCTGCTGCTGCTGCTGCTGCTGCTGCTGCTGCTGCTGGGGGGGGGCTGGGTGCCAGTCTGCTGCTGGGCCCTCTGCTGCTCAGCCAGAGCCTAAAAAAGCAAGAGGATAAAAAGAGATATGAGAGAGATCTCAGCTACAAACACTATTCCTTGGGGTTCTTGTCTTCACACACACACTGACAGGCACAGCCTTTTTCTCTCAAGCTTTAGAATATACAGTCTCACTGAAGTGTAGTTGCATACCTTTTTCTCTTTTGCGATTCTCTCAGCACGCAAAGATGCAACCTGAATTGGAGGCAGTGGTTTGTCATAGTTGATTCCACTGAAAGTAAATGGAAAAATGTGAGATTTATTAAGCATCCATGCCCTGTAACTATGCTGAGTGCTGCATATATTAAGACAAAAATAAAACGGTCCCTGCCCTGCCTTCAGGTGCTTATATTTTCCTAGGACCTTCTTGACAGCTAAAATCCTTTATTTCCCAAGCTGCTGGCCATCAATTGTTCAGTCTCCATGGACACAGGAGTCTTTAGGAATGCAGTTTAGGTCTGCAGCTTAGAAGCCAGATGAGTACTAAAGACATAGTTCTGTCCCCTTCTCTCCACTCATGTGACCACCCCAAATTCAGACTCTCATCAACTCTCACCTGAACTACTACAACAGTCTCATAATTGGTCTCCCTGCCTCCAGCCTTTCCAATACATCCTTCCCATAGCTCTCTAGGGACTCAAAACAGGAAAGCCAAGGCAAAAGCCAGCCAAGGCTACTGTAAGGCCTCAGAGGGAATCCAGGTTCAAAATGCACAGCCACTTACCTCTCTGCTAGCACTGAAGCATGCTTTGGGTTCTTCTGGAAAGGATTCATGCCAAGTCTGAAATGGACAGAACAGAGAGGAGAGAAATGCTGAAAGCATAAAACTTTTCCAAACCAAAGTCTGCCAGATGGAAAGGGAGATGTTCAAACTCACTACATACACAAAAAAATTTACCACGAGACACTGTACTCACACCTCAAGCAAAGTTAACAGAAAATGAGCATTCGAGAAACATACAGAGGTTTGATTGGGGGACTTCTCTTCCCGGCAGTCATTTTCATTAAATCAAAGTGATTTGTGTACAGCTGGGTATGGGTAGCATTCTCATCCTGAGCATATATCTGGCTTGTACGAAGAGGACGGTTGTTTTTGCTCTGAAACAAATGAGATGAGAGCCAACCAAAATTAAAAAATCAACAGGAACCTGTAATTACCCCATCCATCAAAAACAGGGTTTACTTATTTGGAAGCTAATGGACACGTAAGTTAAACTTTCTAAGATTAAATACTCACAAACTTCCCTTACTCCTATCAAATATTTATGTTAGTACAAACTTGATGAAGTGTCCAAATTTATGTGCCATGGAACTCAGCAGGGGAAATAAGTTTCCTTCATACATTAAGAAGAATGTTGTAATGACAAACTTTCAATGATGAATGAAAGCACCACCTTAGGAAAAGGTTTGAGTTACTGTGTTAAGATAAATTTTCCCTTGACCCAAACTCTGGAAAAATAAAGTTCTCTTTAAATAATAAGTACTCCCAAAAAAATCCTAAAAGTGCAAAACATTAGAGCTAGAAGAGACATGGTGTTTATTTTATTCCCACCCTTTCCCTTTATAAATAAGGAAGAAGAGTCTCAGAGAAGGGAAGTGACTTGTCCAAAATCACAGAGCAAATTAGTGACAAAGCCAAGACTCAAAACCAAAACTCTCCCCATTTCCAGTCCAGGGCCCTCTTCATTTCACAGTGCTGCCTCTACAAATTCTCATCATAAACACAACGGCAATGAAACCCAATCCAAATGGAGAGAACCCAGAATTCCTGTATTTCCTATGAGAATGTGTATGTACATAAGTAAATATAGATATAAGCAGTTCATTTATTCTTAAGTGAACACCTTTAATTAAGGAAGATAATGTCCAAAGAAATTTAGAACCAGAAAACATACACGCAAGATTAAGATATCACAAGATAACTTATAATTAATTGTTCTATGGTCCTATGTATGTAGCATTTCCAAAACACAAAATTCAGCAGAGAAAGACAGTGAGAAAAGAAAAGTGGAAAGAAAAAAAAAAGACTGAGAGCATCCCACAACACCAGATAATGAAATTATGCAAAAGTCAAAGTTAAGGAAGACTGAGTGGTAAAGGAATTCCACTTTGCCTCCTTAGTGCCAGCAGGCCCCATCCTGCCACACCAGGGACTTGGGACCTGATTCTCCCACCTGGTTCCTATGACCATTATGAACTCTGCTAGAATAACCATGGTGGAAGCTGCAGGAAGTCTCCTCCCGCTGGTGTTAAGTGGGTTACTATCTGTTCCCTAATGTCCAGAAGCAAATCCTTCAGCTGTAGGAACGAAAGGCACTGTGGCAAATTCTGAATGGTTAAACTTTTGTGAACTATTAAAAGAATTCTGAGTCTGTCTTTTTATGTGTGCTTCTTTGCATCAGCTCTAAAACAAGGTTTTCCAATGTATTCAGAATATCACCTTCATACCTTATAAATATTTTTTGCCTTTTTCTTTGGATTAGCTTCATAAATCAGCTATAAGAGAAGAAAACATTTTAGCTTTATTTTTTTCCATATTAAGGCTATGGCTAATTACCATTAATGCTTCCAAAACACACAGACATAAAGCACTTCAGGAAGTCTCTTCTGTGAAGGTACCTCCTAATGCTATTATGAAGAAAATTTGTTTTGTTTGAAGCAAACAAATGCTTCCTTTTGAGATTAAAATTTTTCAAACAATGCAAAGATGATTCATACAGAAACTAGGTAATTTTCTGAAATAAATAAAAAACTCTAAATTTATCCCCCCAAATATTAATTTATCAACTAAAATTTTGGAGGACTCCCTAAAAATGCCTAACTTTCTACCCTGTTACTGATGGAAAGACGTAAGCATGTGTTCACGCTGTGACAGGAATCCAAGAATGTGGTTAGAGTGGATGTAGATCCTATCGCCTATTTGTAACTTCTGTTGGGATAAATCCCTTCACTTAATAGGTTGCATCACCAACAAATAGGGCATGACAAAGAGAAAGACCACTGCACTCAACAAAATGTATTTTACTGACATGGACTAAAGCCAGATAGATGCTTTCCAATATTGTACAGTTTTGAGATTCTCCCCAAAGAGAGTCAAGCAGTCATGCAGCATGAAAGAGGTAGTTGCATGAGGAAAGCCAGATGAAAAAACATAAAGAGACAACCAAACAGGGTCCAAGAGGAAAAACACTGCAAAGTGGAGACCTGAGTGCTTTTTATCTCTAGAGGGAAAAAAAATTCCTCTTCCTTTCTCAGCTAGGACACCTATTCTAGCATGTTGCATCTCTTTTTTTTTTAAACAAAAGTTACTAAATAGTTGGCTACGTTGTAAATGTACTGTAAATATTGTAATTTTCAATTTTTTTTTAAACTTGAAACAATCAATACACAACTCAGTCCCCCAAAACCACCGTAACATGCTAAGAGATTAAGGGAGGGTTTAGTGACAAAACAATTTGGATAAAAACTAGCTCAATAATCTCTTCTGCAACCAAACTAATGACTAGTATAAAGGAGAAATTTTTCCACTCTTAATCCACCATTCTGTTAAACAGAAAATAATGATATGATATAATAATAAGGTGATTTCACTGATGACAATTTCAGAATAGAATTTTGCTGCTGGGTGGAAAGGCTTGCTTCAAATGTCAGATTTTTACAGTGGCTTGATGAAAATCATTTGATCTAGCAATAAAAATTCTAAATTACTGTTTTTCTATGTCTAGTTTCCAGAAAAGTATAACCGAGCTTAAACTCACCTTTCCCTCTTCTCTTGGAATAATGACATTTTCATAGCGGTTTCGGCACTGTTTGGAAGATCGATAAACTCGACTGCAGGAATTAACAACATCGCTAACAAGATCCCAATTAGGGGTGTGTGCTGGTGACACAACAGTGAGATTTAAAGGAAGCTCAAGCAGCTGCTTTACAGCCTAAAGAGAGAAGAAGTTTCAGGTTAAAATATGTCAACAAAAGTATGAATTTAATTTTCTGTGTCTAAGAAAGACACAGAAGGACACAGTCTAAGAAAGACTACAGAAGAACATAGAAGATTGGAATAGCACAAGGGTGGGGAAAAGCAGACTGAAAGAATCATGGGCAAGGTCTTGCTCACCTGCAGCAATGCCCAGTCTTCACTAATTAGCCACTCCGGGTTGTCCTGCCCAGACTCTGCTGTTGGTTTGACAAAAGTTGGCAAAGGTTTGGCAAACTGAGTCTGCTGCTTCAACAAAATGTTCTTCTTCTGCTCTTTGCCCTCTCGCCGCATCTTTAGCATCCCTGGAGTTGCCCGGTCAAAGAGGGATCGAGGAGGAATGACAGCCTCCCCATGCCGCTGCTTCTTCTTCCGACCAACAGCTAAGGAAGAGACGCCTTCTTTAGCAAGAAGATAACAGAACATTGGTGAAAGTGATCACAATGAGCAAAGGAAACGGTATAAACTGTTGGGCAAAGAGACAGTGTCTACAAAGTGCTATGCTTGTCAGACCCCAAAAAATGTGAACTGTAAATTAGTGTGTCCCCTCCCTCCCAGTACAAAAAGGCTTAACAATGCATATGACCTCACATGCCTTATAAATTACATTTGGAGGGTTTTAGTAAGTCTCATTTTAATTTTTAACTCAAATGTAGCTAAAACAAAAGAGATAAGATGAGCAAAAATAGTTGAATACAACTACTAGCTTCCTTTTATAAGTTTCATGAGCCAAATAACCAGATCCTCCAAACAGCAAGTGATACTGCACACTCCGATAAGATTAGATACACAAATTGCCCAGACCAGCAAACAGGTAATGTAAGTCAGTCCACCTAGGAATTGTCATGGCCCCATTTACCAGAGGGATCTGTCTTGTGTCGCTTACGCTCCTTCCGCACATACACTGGAGGCAGCTTAGATTCCGGGATGGGTGTATTCTCATACATCAGACACATGACTGAGTCAATATAGATGTCATTGTCATCTTGAGGAGGAGTGGGAGGAGTCCAAAGCTGTATAAAGAAAATATTTTCTATTACATTTGTCATATAACGTGAAATCTGCTTGACAGTGAAATGAAATTAAATGAAGTGACTCACTGGCATAATTTCTGTCTGCCCATCAGTATCTTCATAAACATATTCCTGTAGGAGAAATGGGGAATATTAAAGATTTAAGAGATCACTGAACATGCAGCATTCTGCTTAAGAACGAGATAAAGAATGTTAATTGCTGCATCTAAAATAAGTACAATCAGCGTATCAGGGAAGATATATATTTTTTCTAATAATTAGTAAGACTTTACAAAGTCTCGCCCCAGAAGGCTATTTATGTTTTTAATCAGAAATGGGTCAGTTACACATTTTCATGGAAGATATGTTTCTTGATTTTAACTTACACTTGCTAATGGTTTTTAATATTAAAAAATATATGCAACCACGTATGCAGCTACAAACACCTCCAACAACAATGCCCAAACAGTTTTTTTCTTGGGGTTTGAGGGGTACCCTAACATTACCATATTGTAGGCATCTTCTCTGGTGTACGTCAGTAATTCTTCCTCCTCCTCTTCTAACAGTGCTGTGGCATCCCTCTCTTTCAGTTGTCTCATATTATTGGATTCCCACTCCTTTGAAGCTATTGCTACCTCCTACAAACAGGATTCATCAGAAAAGACACTTCTAAAAATTTTGGCTAGCAACAGAAAATCATAAGCACAACTTCTGCTATGTGCTACCACCTTCACTTCTAATTTCTTCTTCCTTTTTCTCTTCTTTTCACAACTTTTACTAAACACAGACTACCTTTTCTTACACTGACACTAACACTTACTTATGACTTGTAATCTAGGACACATTCCATTACTCTTTTTTTTTGGGGGGGGGAAGGGAGCCTAAGCAGTGGGGTTAAGTGATTTGCCCAGGGTCACACAGCTAGTAAGTGTCAAGTGTCTGAGGCTGGATTTGAACTCAGGTCCTCCTGACTAGAGGGCCAATGCTCTACCCACTGAGCCACCTAACTGCCTCTGCATTCCATTATTCTTGAACACAATCTCTCTCTAATACAAAAGTTATATACAAATCCATCCCTCTGCTTACATAAGCTTCTCCAAGTCTATCAACAATCATATCCATTATCTATCTGCATGATGCAAGGCAAGGAGCCCAAGTTTCCTCATTTCAGAGGCTTGGTATGAAAGAAGGCACACTGTAACTTATAAATAGCTAAGTACTTATAAGTTACCATTACTACTCCTCAAATAGTTCTTATGGTGTGATTTTTTTTGAAACTGCATGTAGGTCACATCCATTTTAAACTCAGATGCATAAAATTCTTCTCTTACCTCAATGTCTCTTGGTTTTTCCTGATCAATGGAAGCATGGAATAATTCAAGATAATTCAAAGCATACTTCTCAATTGGTGTGAGCTGTTTCAAAATACACATTTTTCAAAGGTCATTAGTAGGAAGCTAATGAAATCCAAGGCTCTTTCTCACCCCAACATTTAAAATAATGAATCATACTACATGTCCCAATTAAATCTGAAGCATTCCATGCAGGAATCAATACTGTTCCTACCCACATTGAGCTTGAATCTTAAAAATGAAAAAGCTTAAAAATTTTTTAAATCATGGTACCTGTTCCATAAAGTCAGCTAATTCTTCTAATTGTGAAGGTTCTTCATTAATTCTTGGATCATCTAATTCTAATGAGAGAATATCAGCACTTGTTTCAGACACTGTTGTTTCTTCATATTTTGGGGTGTCATCCTCCAAATATTCAATACTCTTAAGAGCCTTGAGAAAACACATTTTCAAGTAAAATTTTGTGCATTTTTTAAAGAATCATAAAAAGAAAAGATTTCTAAAATGTTTTATTCAACTGGGCACATTATAAAAATCACATTCCCCCCACACCCACTCTGCAAGACTATTGACACTTCCACTGAATAAATATTTATCCATGTAGCATTATGGAAAAGTTTACAACGCTATTTCTTACAGCCTACTTACGGAGAAAAGATATATACATAAAAGATTTTGATGAGAAACTAATTTACCTAAAAACAATGATCCAGACAGGACTTAAAAGTCACCTAGTTCAATCTCCCACCCATTACAAAAGTACATACATCTAAAGTTCATCCCTGATGGATTGGACTCAAAGCTCAAAACAGCTATAAGTGGGACATAAATAGGTGGACAGGACAAGAAGGATATGCAGGAAACTCTGAGTTGGGAATACAGAATGTTCTGAAGACAATGGGAAACGGTATCACAGGATTATAGACTTCAAGCTAGAAGATAACCGCAGAAGTCATCCACTCCAAACTTTTTATTCTATAAACAAAGAAGCCAGAGGCCCAGAGAAGAATAATGGAAGGCCCCAGGTCATAAGGGCAGCACAGCCAGACTTGGAGCCCAGGCCTAGTGTCTCCCATGTACCCAACAGCTTCTCTGGACAGAATGAAAGGTTTAGACAGGATCCCAGGATACAGAACGACAGGTAACCTGAGAGACACTAAAGGTTACAGGAGCTGCCTGGAGCAAACCCACACTGTGTCAGAGTGTGTTGAACCAGCCATGTGACTTCTTCTAGTAAAGCAAGTAGAGATCACAGATTCCCAAGGAGCCACAAGATGAAACCCACATCTTAGAAAGATTACTATGGCAGCTGTTCGAAGGATAACTTGAAGGAGTTAAAGGCAAAAAATAGAGAAAGCATGATAAAATACTGCAGCTACCTAAGCATAAGGTGATGAGTCCCTAGAGTAGGTAGAGAATCCCAGGAATGAAGAAGAAAGTAAAGAAATGAATGCTTCAAAGGAAGAACAGATGGAGCAATTGATATGAGGTCACAAAAAGTTAGACACGACTCAAGAAAAACAACAGGGTGGGAAAAGAAGTGGATAAGAAATAAGGAGACCCAGTTTCCAGTTTTGGTTCTGCCCTAGCTATGGGACTTCGGTTTAAGTCCTCCCCAGTGTCTGGGCCTACGATTACTAAACTATAAAATAAGGTTTGTTTCATTGATCTTGAAGGTCCTACTGTAGTTCTGCTCCAGCCCTACCATTCTAGATGTCCACTGAGTTCATTATGGAAAAGAATCTATAAAAAGGTAGCCAGCAGTGTGGTGAGGCAGACAAAAAAGCTAATGGGATCTTGGGCTGTATGAAGAGAAGCATAGCTTCAGAGTCTGCCTGTCCTCTGACCTCATCAGAACAGATTCCATCTGAAGTAAGCAAAACTTAAAAAGCTGAACAAAGGAGGACTACCAGGAGACGGAAGGGCCTTGAGAACAAAGGAAGATCAGTGGAATAAACTAGGCATATTTAGCCTGGGGGAAAGAAGACTCAGGGAGTGATCTGTCTTTAAACATGTGAATCCTTATGGAAATATATGGAGAAGGATTTAGACTTTTTCTCTTTGGCCCTGAAGGGCAGACACAATGTACAGAACTGCCAACAAGCAGTTTACCAAAGAAGAACAGACTGCCTTGAGCAGAGGAGGGTTCCATTTCTTGGCAGAAGCTGGAGGATCCCATCATGTATAAGACAAATTCCTTTCACCTATGGGCTATACTATATGTCAGTGAGATCCCTGTCAACTCTCAGATTCTGTGGTTCCAGGTTCAGAGGGCTAAGGTCTAAATCCTGGGGTATGTCTACAGTACCTACCTGAAAAGCAGTGATATCAAGGTAGGCAGAAAACCATGGGAGCGCAGCATCACAGAAGCCAAGGCCAAGAGACTAGTTAGATCAAGTACCTTAAGGATATCACAGACTGAGAAAAGGCCACTGGATTTATGAAGAATAGAAGTGACTTTCAGTTTAGTTTTTGTAGTGTAGGGTCACAAGTCAGATTTCAGGGGGTCAAGAATTGTCACAAAGAAACAGAAACAGTTGATATTGACCATATATTAGAGAATTTTGCCAGGAAAAGCAAAGAAAGAAATCTGAATTGCTAGAGTAGTCAGTAGGGTCAAAGAAGTTTTGAGGTTGGTTTTTTTTCCCCCCAAAATGGGGGAAACTATACATTTGAAAGAAAAACATGAGACAGTGGAAAGGGAAAGGCTCAGAATTAAAATGTTCAATCAAACATCTGTTAAGTATCTAAAAATGTGCAGGACATTGTACTAAATGACGAGGAATAAAGTTAAGTTACAGATCTTCCCCTCAACAATTTGCAATCTAACAGGGACAAGTACAAATATAAGTTACAAACTGCTATGTAGTAAGTACAGAGGAAAGGCCCAGACAAGGCGCTATAAGAAATTTAAGGGATTCAAAAAATTTTTATAGAAGGGCAACACTTGAAGAACAACACTTTTGGGTCTTGAAGAAAAGGAAGGGTGTTAACAAGTGGAAATTGAGGGGAGAAATTCATTTCAGACATCAACTCAGGTGATGAGTAACTAATTAAATAAGACTCTTCAGAAGTCACAATGTCACAAGATCTAGAAAACAGAAAGAAGAGTAATAAGCCTTAGAAAAGATAAGGAACAAATTCTCTGTAACAAGAAGTTTTCTCAAGTGAAGAAGAGGCAAGATGGGACACTCAAAACAAATGGCCGTAATCTTCACAGTTAAAATAGGAGATAAATCATTTGCTAACAGTGAAGGAAGACATGATAGAACTGGAGACTTGAAAACAGAGGAGAAGACTTGAAATAGCTATTTGGGATAGGTTTGAGGCAGCTAGGTAGTCCAATGAATAAAGCACTAGTCTTGGAGTCAGAAAGACTCATCTTCATGAGTTTAATCTGGCCTCAGATATTAGGTGTACGACCCTGGGCAAGTCACTTAATCTTGTTTGCCTCAGTTCCTCATTTGTGAAATGAGTTGGAGAAGGAAATGGCAAACCAATCCAGTATCTTTGCCAAGAAAACCCCAAAATGGGGTCACAAAGAGACACCACTAAAATTAATGAACAACAGATGGGGGAGAGGAAGCAGGAGGTGTACTAAACACTAATGAAATCGAAGAGATAAATAAAAGAATGACTGTAAAGCACCTATAACCCAAATATAAATGAGTCAAGTCTATGCAGTTTTGTGTCTTTCTTCAGTAGACAACTGCTGTGCCCTGAAAGAACTAAAAAACATATTGTTGGCGTGCTCCTGAATTGAGGCAGACCACTGAATTTCAAAAAGGCAAGGGAGTGGCAGTGTAGGTAACACTAACATAGAAAACTAAAGAGTTAAGACTCAGAATGGATTCAAGTGTAGCTGGAAAGGAGTGGATGGACCAGCTGTAATAACCAGGGTTGTGTGATAAGAGGTCCAGGGAGGCTAGAGTGCAGCAACTTTAGTGATGTGTAACTTTAGTGATGTGAGGAAGGGGGAGAAAGAAATGGTAAAGTAGTTGGGATCTCTAAAAAGGACATCCTTCTGCCAGCTGCTTCTTCAGGAAAAGTTACCTCTATAAAAGGCCTTGCAATTTTAGGCGCAATTGCTTCTGAGGCAGAGGGCTCCTGAGGAAGAACAACAAATTCTTCAGCTTTAACTCTGAAACCAGAGTCTTCCACAGGAGAGTGAACGTCAAATAGCTCCTGGATAGTTTGCTGAAAAAACAAAAATGATGATGTCTTTCAATAATTAAGGACATACTTTTATATCCAACCCTAACTCAAAGCTCTAAGTGTGAAGGATTAATACATAATTATCAGGTTTTGAATATCTGTTAAAAACAATGCAATACATTGTGTGATAAAACTTGACTCTGAGGATTTTTAACACATTAAAAATACCTGAGTTAAAAATGCCATAGAGTAGTCGTTTCCTTGAGCAGCAACCTCTCTTATCAAATCTTTGGTTCCATTTTTCAACAATTTTTCTTCTATTGAATTACCACTCACAAGCCTACACAAGAAGAAAATATTTATTAAACAGTTTTGTGTGACAATGAAAAAGTACAGAGCTAGAAGGCACTGATATAATAACAGCAGGGACTGCTTCTGAAAATGATGATGATAAAGTTTAAATACATATGGTCTTGAAGCTCCCAAAGCACTTTCACACATTTCATTTGGTATTCACAATTGTGTAGAGTAGATTGGGTAGATATCCGTATTTTACAGATGAAAAAAAACTGCGACTCAGAGAAGTAAATGACCTACCCAAGGCAGCACAACTAAAAAGCAGTGTAGTCAAGCCAAAAACCTAAGCTGGGACCCTACTGATGAATCCACCAACCTGGACCCCACACACTTCTGACTACATACCAAAAACATGAGACCCAACTAAATAATGTTGAATTGTGTTAACATGAAAGACAAAGACATTGTACAAGAGACACAGATGTCTACTTAAACGTTGTTTATTTCATAGAGATGTATAAGAAGTTGTAGAAGCTGTAACTAAGAGTGCTCATTAAACACTAGAAACAGAATTATGGTCTGTACAGTTCTGAGACCAGAAGTTTTAGAAAGCTCTAAAAGTATACACCACAGGGCTTTGTAATTTTCTTAAATACACACACACACACACGTTTGGTTTATAGTTCTAATGTTTGCAGTTAATGGTAAGAAAAATCAGTTCAATTTATTTCAAAAACTTTTAATTATATTTTGTAAAATTTTAAGTACATCCATTAACATCAACTGCCTTCCTAGAATTTGAGTATTTGAGGAAGGGGCCAAACAAATGAAAAAATAAAAAGGGCAGAATAACAAAAACAAATTAATATAAAAATCAATGAGGTACAAATGAATAAAAAAAGAGGTCAATTCATCTGAAAGGGGAAATGTTTTACTCTTGCTTGTAGAAAAAATGTTGATCTTTTATTTTTGTTAGATACATGGTTAATGTCAGGAAGCATTTTACGAAGCTTTTAGTCACATAAACAAAACTAGATTCTTAGCATGAAAATTACCTGTATATGTGGATGTCCTTGCTTCTCCCAATTCGATCACACCATTCTTGAGCCTTTGCGTCCATCACTGGATTTAAGTCATTGTCATAAAACACAACTGTGTCAGCTTCTACAAGATTTATACCTGTAGAGCGACTGTGGGTGGAAAGAATGGCACAAAATATCCGCTTGTCTTTGTTGAAACTCTTCATCAGTTCCTAAATTAGAAACGAAATGCTTATAAGAGTAAATAATAAAAAATTAAATGGAAGAATAGCAATTAATTCTTGCCATTCAGTCATTCAGTCATGTCAAACTCTTTGTAACCCCATGGACGATAACAAACCAATTCTGTCCATGGGGTTTTCTTGGCAAAGATACTGGACTGTTGTGCCATTTCCTTCTGCAGTTAGCATTTAAATGCTATCCACAAATTAGACTGTATTCTGAAATCTAAAGTGTCTAACGACTGTTTTATTTGAGGAAGACAGCACTGTGATTATTTTAATATTGAAACTCACTTTTAAAAATGTCCTAATTTTTAGCAAAATATATGCTGACTTATTTCTGCACTTATATAGTGATTTTTAACTACTTATAATAAAAAAATTTTCAGAATGCTTGAGTTATATTTGGTTTATCAGTCGCAAAAAAGTGGAAAAATAAAATACTTTTCTACACTTAATGTCAGCTCCAACTGTAGACCCCAAAAGAAAATCCAGCTCTTATTGGGGAGGGAAATGTGCTTTCTGATATCTCCTCAGGCAATGCCAGGGCACTCTATGGGTAAGAAAGCCCCTGGAGTAAGGCTGAGGAAGAAGGGAGACACACATACTCATTAGTGACAAGTGGTAATTAAATAAAATACTTTAAAAAAACTGGACTTTACTGAATTTCAAAACCATATTACTTAAAGTTTATATTTTTATTACCTGAACATACTAGTCTCTAGGGACTGATCCCCATAGGTCATTAAGTTAATTTATGCTGACACCAAAATACTACACAACCATCAAGCTGCCTGAATACAATAAATAGCATGACCTAAACTATATGTCCCTAATTTATGTCAATCAGGTCAGAATCAAAGGATTTACTGAAATTCTGAAAGATCAAGTAATTCAGTTTTGGTTTATGCAGACAGTAACCTTAAGAAGGGACTAAAAAAGGTAACGACAGAGAGACATCACTAAATTACTTAACTGCATTGTCACAAATTCCATTCTTTAAAAATCAGCTGCTGGCTATTGCTAAATCCCTAAGTGATCAACAAGTCCTCTCTTACCTGGCGTTGTTCACTGTTAGCATTTTCATCAACTCTTACATAGGTAAGATAATGGAAGTCCAAGAACATTTCCAAAATATCTAACATCAGAATCATCTGTGATAAGATCAACACCCGACGTCCCTCAGATTTTAGCTTCTGAAGCAAGATAGCTAAAGCTTCCAGCTTTCCTATAAAGATAATACCATGAGAGTACTTGACAAAAAGATTAAAATACCAGCCGTTATAATTTATTTTTGCTAAATATCCATCTTTGCTCATACCTGAATCATACTGCACCAATCTGAGCTCAGGAAACTGCAATACCTTGAGGTTTGTTATTTCATGCAATTGTTGTAAATAGGGAGCAGTCTGCTCCTTCAGACAGTGCCGGAAAATCTTCATTTTGTGGCTGTAAGAAGGTGGTGGTTTGGCTACATACAAGCAAGGAGGAGCAGCCACTACAGCTGGAAGGACACAGGCCACCCTGTGAAATGAACAGAATTCCTCAGTTATACACAGAGGAAACAGAAACCTCTCACTGTCAGGCGGCTGCAGGGAAGCTCTTCTGCCCTCTTCAAAATGTGTCCGAGGGTGCAGAAAGAAGAAAAAGGAAAGGCTATTTAATAAGCCAGCTTTGAAGGGTAAAACAACTACAAAAGCTGAAGAAGTACCTTAATGAATCATCTGCAGTATCACAATCATTGAAAGATCAGGGCTAGGTGCTATGAGGGACACAGAACCTGTTCTTAAAAACTTTGTAATCTAGCCAAGTGAGTGTCAAACCTTTTGGTCTCAGGACCTTTTTACACTCTTTAAAAATTATTGAGGACTCCTCCCCTTACCAAAGAGCTTTCGTGTATGTGGGCTATATCTATCAATATTTACCACGCTAGAAATTAAAATGTCTTCATATTATTAAGGAAATCATTTTGACCTTATGAACATTTGGAAGTGTCTCTGTGGGCCACACTTTGAGAACTGTTGGTCCAGGAAACGCAAAATAACTAACACAAAAATTGAGTTTAACATGAAGACTGCATGGACAGTGGGCCAAGATCCCTCGGGTAATTATATCCTCCTGATTGGAAGAGATAATCATAGGTCTGAGGCCTAAAGGAAGTCTTCTTCAAACAAGATGAAAAAGGCACAATTTGGTTTGTTTCTTTTCAACTTTTCCTTCTAATCTGATAAAAGAAAAATCGTTTAGGTGGATACAGCACCAGCCCTGGAGTCCAGAGGACCTGAGTTCAAATCTAGCCTCAGACACAACATTTTCTAGCTATGTGACTCTGGGCAAGTCATTTAATCCCAATCACCTCACCAAAAAAAAAAAAACTGTTTATGATGGGAACATTTTAGAGCCTCTGCCAGGGAGCTGGAATAGGTATTAGATTAGATTAGATGTTGTCATGAGATACAGTTACAGTTTCAGAAGTAATAAATATAGAGATGAGGGTGATGACATATATGAAGCCAAAGACAAATTTCAAATGCTGAAGCATTATTAGGAGGGCTGAATGGAGCTGTGAACAGACTCAATGTATCACAGATGGGAAATCCAGAAAGTAAACCCCATGTAACCACTGTAATTAGTCACTTTTATCATCTAAGAGTGCTTATGAAATTTCTTGAGTATATATTTATTGTGATATGTAAACAACTAAAATATGAATGAGGGCTTGTTTTGTTTTTATTTGATTTTTTGTTTTGTTTTGTTTTGCTAGGCAGTGGAGTTAAGTGACTTGTCCAGGGTCACACAGCTAGTAAGTGTCAAGTGTGTAAGGCTGGACTTTAACTCGGGTCCTCCTGACTTCAGCGCCGGTGCTCCATCCACTGCGCCACCTAGCTGCCCCTGTTTTCATTTGATTTTAAAAGCAATGCAGAATAATGGAAGAACAATGGATCTGAGTAAGAGAAATGGGCTTACGGATAGGCTGATACTTATTGACTATACGATACTGAGACAGTCCATTCTTTTTGGCCTCTTTGGGCCTCCAAATGCTCCTCTACAAGATGAGGGTTTGGCCCAGATTGTCTCTGAGGCCCCATTCTAGCTCTAAATCTTCTCATTCAATACAGATTGGATCATGAGCTGCATTCATTCAACTCTCCCAAATCCTCCCTCCCTTGAGAGCAAATAGGAATGCCAAAGCTTCATGCCACCATCCACCTGGTGACTGCTACCCAAAACGCAGACACATTCCTTAAGAAGCACTAAATAAGCCCTCAGGGAGGTGCCTTGCTGTTTCAATCCAAAACAAAATTTAGTATCTTTCCCCTATTTCTTTGTTCCTGTAAGGGGGCTCCCAAAGTCACAGCCTTGAACCCTCCTCGACTCCTCACTCTTGCATAGCTGTTCAGTTGCTGAACCTTGCCATTTCTACCTGTGATACCTCTCACATCCACCTCCTTCTCTCTACTTCTGCAGCTACTACTTTCCTGCCCACCTCCATCATCTCACCCATATTACAGGGACAGCCTTTGAATGGGTCTGCCTTCCTCAAGTCTTAGCCCCCTCCAATCCATCCTCCACACTGCTGCCAAAGTAATTTCATTAAGCACAGCTATGATCATCTTACTCCCCAATCAAACTCCACTGGTTTTCTGTGGCCTCAAGAATAAAATACAAATTTCTCTGTTCATGGTTTTTAAAAGTTCCAAACAACCTGATCCCAACAACCAGCCTTGTGGGACACTCTACCCTCTTCCTCACTTTGTCAGTGACTGTCAGAGGGAGTGTCAGCCAAACTGACCTGATCTTTGCCCCATCTGGCCTCCTCCCTGTCTGGAATGCACTCTCTTCTCACTTCTGCCACAGAATCACCTTCTTCCTTCAAGACGCATCACCTTCTACATGAGGCCCTGCTTAACCCCAGCCCTCACACCCAATGGTATGTACTTAATATACTTATATGTGAACCTATTTCTCCATTAGAATATAAGCCCTTTGAGAAGAGGGATTCACTATATTTGCACCAAGAGTGTCAAAGACATAGTAGACACTTAACAAATACTTGTTGATCATGATTTTACAGTAATATAGAACTTTGTGGTTGAAAAAAATCTATTCTTCACAATAACCCGGTAAAGTAAGCTACATAAGCAAACATAAGCCTCCTTTTAAAGGAAAACAATGACTTGCACATGGTCATAGCTAAACAAGATCAGAACTGGGATTTGAACTCATCTCCAAAGTCTAGGTTCATTGCTCTTTCCAGTATTATTTTCACCAAATTCTAAACAATTTTTAAGAAGGATTTTCAAAGAACAACTGCAAAAATGCAAGAAGTTCACAAAACGAATTCGAAAATTGCACCAAATGAGACCACAAAAACAAACAAACAAAACTCAAGTGTGCCCAGGTTATAATACCTATTAATAACATCATGGAGGGATTCTCTTCGTTGTTCTAACGTCAACATCAAACACTGAAGTACATCAGTTGTATTTCTTGAGGATGAAGCACCACAGTTCACCATGCCAGCCCAACTCCATTTATTTCTATCTGCAGACCCACGCAGAGGTGTCTTCTTCCGACTAATCACAGAACAAATTCCTAACAAATCGCTGCCATAGATAGGAGTTCTGGAACAGCGCCGCTCATTGCCCAGATAAATTCGGTCCAGTCGTTCTTTCAAAAGTCTATTTTTTTCCTCCTTTGGGTAAAATGGTAATAAGAGCTTGGTCATTCAAGTATGGAGAAGTAGACAGTTAAATTGTTAAAAAAAAAACGGTAATATCATCAAGTTATTATCATCAGATAGTAATTACAGAGTTCCCATGTGCATGGTCTCGCCCTGAACGCTTTGTAACACATAACAGTCATACTCCCTGCTTCTTTGGAGCTAATGATATCAATGAATTAGAGAGGGAAAGTTTCATTTTCTCTAGCAAGTCTAAAAATCATTTCTTATGAGCATCTCTAGTTAAGATCCTATAATACTTCAAATAAACAATGAAAATGCATAAGCATATTTTAGAGTAAAACAAAACAGGATTACTGTTACCTCATTATTTACCTCATTAATTAGACTACAGGAAAGCAAAATTTTAATGACATTTACGGTACTATTTTTGTAATTCTATAACAGGAAATTCTTACTTTAAAATTTCATTCAATGACAGCTCAGAGTATTTTTTTTTAAATAAGATGCCATTACTTGCCATGTTATTAAGGTAACTTGTAACTTCTGAAAACCGCATGTTTATACTACCAATTAATACTATAAGTCCCTTTAGCAACCTATATAACTGGTATCTGCTCTAACAAATGGAAAAAATATGTTTAGAATTCATTAAGTTACAAACCTGTGTTGGGCCTCCTATAGGACTAGCCATTTTTGGTACTACTCCAGTTTCTCCTGATGTCAAGGAATTAACTGCTGTTCTCCCTGGAATACCTACTATAATTTCAAAAATACCCAGCATTAATTCATATCTACATGAAAAAAGTTAAACTTCTTTAATTAATCTCATTATTTTCATATAATCAAAACACAATATAATTCTGAGTAGTGGACAAAATACTTAATTTGAAACGGGCTAATTTAGTGTCTAGAAATTTAATATCATGAAAAATTACATTTCGTTTTTCCTTTGAAGTTCTTCCTCTGAAATTCTGAGCACCAAAAAACCATGCTAGCATCAGCATTAAATACAAGAAAAAGACAACCCTGAAAAAATGTTTAATTATTCCACCTGGCTCAGGGAAAAATGAAATAGGGACATAGAAACACTCTTAGGTTTTTGGCATTCTCAATGACAGGGTTATGGTATTGTAAGGGCTCAAGGAAAAAAATTTATTTCTGCCATTTCAGCCTCTACAATGTTAAGAATAGGGTTAAGATTATTACTGTGAATCAAACTACCAAAATATTGTTTTACAGAGCTAGGAAAAATAATAACAATTCATCTGGAAGAACAAAAGGTCAAGAATATCAAGGGAATCAATGAAAAAAAAATGTGAAGGAAGACAGTCTAACCGTACCAGATTATAATCTGTATTACAAAGCAATCATCATCAAAACAATCCTGTACTAGCTAAGAAATATAGTGGTGAATCCATGGGATAGATTAGGCATACAATATACAGTAGTAAGTGCCTACAGTAATCTAGTGTTTGATAAACACAAAGACCCAAGCTTTTGGGACAAGAATTCATTATTTGACAAAAAATACCAGGAAAACTAGAAAGCAGTTTGGCAGAAACTAGAAATCAACCAGCATCTCGTACAGTATACCAAGATAATATCAAAATGCTTACGTGATTTAGACATAAAGGTGACACTACAAGCAAACAGGGGAGCATCAATAGTTATCTGGCAGATCTATGCATAAGGGAAGAATGTATGACCAAATAAGTGAGAGAGAGCATTGTTGTTATTAGATCATTTTTCAGTTATGTCTGACTCTCTGTGACCCCACGTGGGGTTTTCTTGGCAAAGATACTGGAGAGGTTTACCATTTCCTTCTCCAAATCATTTTACAGATGAGAAAACTGAGGCAAACTGGGTTAAGTGACTTGCCCTATGGATAAGGGAATAATGTATGACCAAACAAGAGATAGAGAGTATTATGTAATGTAAAATGAGTATTAACTATATTAAATTAAAAAGGTTTTGCACAAACAAAACCAAATGCAACCAAGATTGGAAAGAAAGCAGAATACTGGGTGAAAAAACTTTTTACAGCGAGTTTCTCTGATAAAGGCCTTTTATCTCAACTACATAGAAACTGAGTCAAATTTATAAGAATACAAGTCATTCCCCATTTGATGGTCAATGGGTATGAACAGGCAGTTTTCAGAAGAAGAAATCAAAGTTATCTATAGTCATATGGAAAAATGTTCTAAATCACTATTGATTAGAGAAATGAAAATTAAAACAACTCTGAGGTACCACCTCACGCATATCAGATTAACTAATATGACAGAAAAAGAAAATGACAAATGTTGAAGAGGATGTGGGAAAACTGAGACACTAAAGTACTTGGTGGAGTTGTGAACTAATTCAACTATTCTGGAGAACAATTTGGAACTATGCACAAAGGGCTATATGACTGTATACCCTTTGACCCAGCAATAATACTACTAAGTCTGTATCCCAAAGAGAAATTAAAAAAAAAAAGGAAAAGAACCAAAAACGACAAAAATATTTATAGCAGCTCTTTTTGTGGTGGTAAAGAATAGGAAATTGAGGGGATACTCATCAATTGGGAAATAGCTGAACAAGCTGTGGTATATGATTGTCATGGAACACTACTGCGCTATAAGAAATTATGAAGAGGATGTTTCAAAAAAACCTGGGAAGACTTACAGGAATTGATGCAAAGTGAAGTAAGCAGAACCAGGAGAACATTGCATATGGTATCAGCAATATCGTTTGATTGTAAATGTAAATGACTTAGCTTAATTCTCAGCAATACGATGATTTAAGACAATTCCGAAGTATTTGGGATAAAAAATTCTATCTACCCCCCCAGAGAAAGAACTGACGGAATCTAAATGCAGCTTGAAGCATACTTTTTCTTTCACTTTATTCTTGTCTGTTTGGCTTTTTTTGGTCTGTGTTTTCTTTCAAAACATAACTAATACGGAAATGTTTTGCGTAACTGCATGTGTATAACCTCTATCAAATTGCTTTCCTTCTTAAAGAAGGACAAGCAGGAGGGAGGGGGAGAATTTGGATCTCAAAATTTTTTTAAAAGAATGTTAAAAGTGCAGCTAGGTGGTGCAGCGGATAGAGCACCGGCCATGGAGTCAGGAGTACCTGAGTTCAAATCCGGCCTCAGACACTTGACACTTACCAGCTGTGTGACCCTAGGCAAGTCACTTAACCCCAAATGCCTCACAAAAAGATAGAGAGACAGACAGACAGACAGACAGATAAGAATGTTAAAAATTGTTTTTACATTTAATTAGAAAAAACATTTTTAAAAAAGAATATTACTGTGTATTAGGCACATCATCATACTCATCTCCTATTTGTAAAAAATTAGAAACAGCAAGGAGTAGGCCAAAGTTCAACTATCAGGCTCAACATAATTGGTGTTTCTAGCTCTGGACCAAAAAATTTTATTTTCTTCATTTTAATCAAATTACTGAATTTTTATTGAGATTATGTTAATTAAAGATATGTAAATATTAGTTAAAAATTACAATAGATAGAAAATTAACCTAGGTCATACATCAACAACCCTGTATTTATAATATAAAAGTGTATTTTTACTCTATTGTAACATTTTGTAACACTTCCTATTTAATACTTAACAAATGACAACGGAAATGGAGATAGATTCTAAAAATGAATTCTATTCATAACATCTCCCTCCTTTAAATCCTAAAAAAAAAAAAACAATTGTGCTTAAAATAATGGTCTGAGTATAGATAGACATATATAAAATGTCATATATAAAGATATTTATGTATATATGTATATTTATATGTACATATATATGCATGTGTGCAGCATACACATACACACATATAAATCTTGAGAGACTTGAGTTTCTCATTGGGTCAGTCTTACACAAACAGTGACACGGACTGTATGGAGAAAAAGCTTTATAACAATAGTCACCCCAAACAGCCATTTGCCCAGCCACATCTGTCAATCATTAAGAGAGCCAATAAACTTCTGCAAAAGCCAGGCATCACACAAGGAAAGAATAAATGTTCCATCGTTCTTTCTTGTTATTCTCCTCTTTGCTTTTTTCTTCCTCATCTTTACCTCTTTCTGTTTCTCTTCTCCCTATAAGCTCCCCTTTTCTGCCTCCCTCCCTCCCCCCTCCCCATTAATGATTCTTCTCTTTCTTTCTGGTTCTCTTCATCATCTTAGCCAAAAAAACTCTTCTCACACAAAGCACTACTCAGCTACACAGGTACTACTCAGCTTTAATCATGGTGTATTGTGAAAAATGTAGACATCTTGAAATGTGTCATATGATGAAAAAAGGCTGCTGTAATATTTCTCTATTGCTATGGTACACTGTCTGGCATATAGTAGACGCTTAAAAAATGTTTACTGATTTATTGACTGGTATCTCAAAAGACCCTAATCTTAAGCTTTTTCCATTTAAAACACACCAGTAAATAATCCATGTGTTTTTGGTGTTTTTTTTTTTACAGTTTTCCTTCAAGAATATAAATTAAGCTAGAAGAACCATAGTTGTAGCAGTAAAAAGCACCTTAAAGAGCCATCTAATCTAATTCCTTCCCTTTATAGATCAGGAAATTGAGGCTCAAAGAGGGTGAGGGACTTGCCCAAAGTCATACAGATAGGGAGGAAAGGAACAAACATTTATTAAGCACCTATTGTGCCAGGCACTAAGTATTATCCCATTTGATCCTCACAACCCTGGGTATTGGGTGTTATTATTTTCCTCATTTTACAGATGAGGAAACTGAGGCAGACAGAGTGAAGTGACTTACTCAAGGTCACTCGGCTAGTAAGTACCTCTGGTGTTCCTGACTCCAGTCCCAGCAATGCATCACCTATGAGGGCTCAGAAAAAAGGCAGATAGAAAATCTGAACCCAAGTTCTCTAAGTACAGGACCAATTCTTACAGAACACTTCCTTGAAAAGGAGGGGACTTCAGACTAAAAAAGAAAGACAAGTGAATGATACGCTGGTGAGCTATTAATAAGAAGGAGGTCATCACCCTACATTCAATGATTCCTCTACTTCTTACCACATCCAAACCATCACCTGATGCATCATTTTCTAAAACTCTGAAAGGGAATCAAAGTCAAGAGCCAAGTAGAGCCAGGCAGGCTTGGGGGCTGAGAGAGTCAGCATCTGCAAGGAAGTAGGAATGAGACCAAGATCCAGAACAGCCAAGGGGGAAAGGCTGTGTGAGACAGGAAAACACAGCTCCCACAGCTAACTTTTTACTCCTGGACCACAATAGGGTCCATTGAGTGGTTTACAGGGAAAATTCTAACCAGGCTCAGTTCCACGTGTGATTGACAATTTACCCAGTCAATCCACAGAGAAGTCTAAAAGGAGCATTTACATTAGTGAGCTCAAAATCTAAGCATGCTGATAGCCTACAATAGGCAAATGTCTTCAGGACAAAAAAAAAGGTCAATCAACATGATACTAATTGTCACATCCAAGGAAATTAGTTCATCACAAACCTAATTTGTAGTTCTGAACTATTCATTCAGTAATAGCCACAAAACTGATTCATTTTAATCACTGGAACACAACTGTGATAATTAAGTTTAAGTGACAGAATCCTTGTTTCTGAACAAGAAAAGCGACATACCTGGTGGAGTTCCTGGTGTGGAACTTGGAACATTTGCTTGGTTCTTGTTTCCCAGGGCACTCAAAGCATTCTGGACAGCACCAGCCTGAGACACTGTCTGCATAACAACCGGGCCTTGAGGGCGCAGATACTGTTGTCCAGGAGCAGAGACAATCTGAAGAACACTTCCTGCAATTTAAATCACACCAGGGATCACTGTGGGGTTTAATGGTCAACATCTGTTCTATTTATTGACTACCTTCATTGTTAAATTGTCCAGGAATATAAGATGGGTGTGATAAAAATTTTTAAAAAACAAGCCAAATTACTAAATAAGATAAACATAAAATTAAGGTAAATGTTAGAGGGAAAGGACAAGGATCACCACTACTATTAAGATAAAAGGAACAGTTTCTCCACTCCACTCCTCCTCTGATGCCACATCATGCCACAAGTTCTCAACAGCAGCAAAAGAGCACAAGACTAGGCAGGTTTGAACAAAATGGAAAGGCTTCCAGTACAATTACGCCTAAGTTTGAGGGTATTAATCACTAGGTTAGTCACAAGGTGATTAATTTTGTCAAACACAGCAAGTAAAAGAGCACCTAGTAAATCCTAGTAAAACCTAGTAAAAGTAACATCTTCTCTAAGTTTTACATTTTCAAAACAACTACTACATGAGCCTAGAAATAACTTATAGGGGGCAGCTAGGTGGCGCAGTGGATAGAGCTCTGGCCTCGACGTCAGGAGGACCTGAGTTCAAATCCGGCCTCAGACACTTGATACTAGCTGTGTGACCCTGGGCAAGTCACTTAACCCCACACTGCCTCACCAAAAAAGCAAAAAAAAAAAAAAGTAATTCAGAATTCTAGCGTCTTCCAATTCTTAACTGCCACCTTCCTGAAAGTTCCTCATTCTAACCACGTAGATGGTTAAATCTTCTACCTTCTTGGACTTCAGAGGTATATAACGTCTTCTCCCTCAAGATTCACCAAATTCATCACTATGAAAAAATGAAGGTAAAATAAAATATCCCAACTTTTATGACATACCTACCCCCTCAAAGATTACTTTGCACATACCACTTCAATGCTTAGAAAATACGTAATTTCCTCAATGATGGTTTTCTCTACAGTGCAAACTGTGACCCTCTTTAACTTGGCAGATGACCTTTGAGGATATCTATGGCCAAAAAAAGTAGCCTCCCAATAGTCAACCTGGTGCTGAGCCACTCCAGTCTTAGCTAGGGTCGGTCACCGATATCAGACTTACAGGCCAAAACGGAACCCAGGCCAAAACGGAACCTGTACTAGTAGATCTTCCAGCTTGCTAGTTAGTACCTGTAAGGGCTTAGTACTCCTGACAGGGCCTTCAAAAACCTAGACTGAAGAAGCCTCAGAACAGAATTTTAGAAGATGTCTCAGATGCACATACAATGCAAATTTTATTACCATATTTTATTTCCAAAACTGTGAATGCATTTCTATTTACAAGTAATAGGTGTATGAGGCTGTTCATGGAGTTGAAAAGCTACGATATACTACACAGGTGTTAATATATACATGGTGCGAGTATAAAGAATGTCTTATACACTTTTTTTAAAGACTGGAATTCCCTATCTCACCCAAGCAAAAGGAAAAAGAACTACTTATGGGTTTGATCCCACTACTGATTAGCATGAGAACTCTGAATACTTTGGACCTGGGCTGCTTCACCCCTTCTTCTGCAACCTGGTAACCATCTTCCTCTCCAGCCCCTGGGTGTTACCACGTTAATGCCAAACTTATGGCAGACAGCCGATCACCATACACCGTCCCAGCCTCAAGAGATTAACCCAACTTCAGCCTCTGTGATAGCAGAGATGACAGGCACGAACCGCTAAGCTAGGCTTTCCACATGTTATCAAATTTTTTTAACATTAAATACTTTGTACACATATCCTCATGTCAACATTTGAAAGCATTTCAAATTTGACCAAGGAAGATGCAATTGCAATAAATCAAGAAGCATTATTAAACGCCAATTATGTGGCAGGTATTTTTAGGTGCTGGAGTCATAAGAACTTTTTCTGAAAGAGTTTACAATTCTATAAAAGGAGACAAGAGAGATGTGGAGGTGGAAAAGGCAAGGGTTAGCAACTGATGGGATGTGTGGGGTGAGGAACAATAAGAAGCTAAGGATGGTGCCAAGGTGGTTATGAACCCAGGAGACTAGAAGAATGATAGCACCTTAGTCAGAAAATAGGGAAGTGTGCAGGAAAGGAAGTTTCAAGGGGAAAGAAAACAAACTCAGCTCTGACAAATTCCATTCAAGAGGTTTCTAAGACATCCAGTATGAAAGAGCCAAAAGGCAATCAGTGATGGTGAGAATAAAACTCAAGAGGAATGACTAGGGCTAGATATACATATACACATGTGCATGCATGCATGCCTAATATATACATATTCTCTGTGAGTTCTCTGCACAGAGATCATCATTAAAGTAAAGGTAGTTCATGAAATCATTAAGCAAGAGAGTGTAGTTAGAGAAGACAGCAGAATGCAGGGCACTGGGGAATACCCATAGTTAGGGGATGTGACTGACACTGCTGATCACCCTCTCCTCTCTCTAGGTTTTTGGGACACTGCACTCTCCTGCTTCTCCTCACCTACCTGACCATTCCTTCTCTGTCTCCTTTGCTAGATCCTCCTCCAGATTATAGCCTCTAACTGTAGGTATCCCTCAGGGTTCTGTTCTAGGACCTCTTCTTTTCTCCCTATATACTACTTCACTTGGTGATCTCATCAGCTCCCATGGATTTTAATTACTATCTCCATGCTGATGATTTTCAAATCTACTTATCCAGCCCTAACCTCTTTGCTGACCTCCAAGCAGCTAGCAATACAGTGGATAGAGAGCAGGACCCGGAGTCAGGAAGATCTGAATTCAAATCTGGCCTCAGACATTTACTAGTAGTGTGTCCCTGCTCAAATCATTTAACTTCTATTTGCCCCAATTTTCTCAGCTATAAAGCAGGGATAATAAAAGCACCTGCCTCACAAGGTTCTTATGAGGATCAAATGAGATTATATCTGTAAAGTGCTTATTAGCACTGTGCCTACCACATAGTAGGCTGCTTAAAAATACTTATTTCCTTCCCTTCCCCAGTCTCACATCTCCAACTGCCTTTCAGTAATCTCGAACTGGATATCTAATAGACACCTTAAATTCAACCTGTCCAAAACAGAAATCCTCCTCCACTCCTATCTTCCCTGTTATTGTAGAGGGCAATGCCATCCTGCTTGTCAGGAGTCATCCTAGCATCATTCTGGACTCCTCTCTAGGTCTCACCCCCCCCCCAATCCAAGCTAGGTCAAGGTCTATGAATTGCACCTTTGCAACATCTCTCAAATATACCCCCTTCTCTCCTCTGACACTGCCACCCTTCTACTGCAGACTTTCATCACGTCATACCTGGCTTACTCCAATAGCCTTCTGTGGGAAGGGAAAGGTGGGGTATGGGGGGTAGGGGGTTAGCATCTGCCTGCCTCAAGTGTCTCCGTACTCCAATTCATCCTCCATTCTGCCACTAAAGTGGTTTTCATAAAGCACAGGTTTGATAATGTCTGTCTGTCTGTCTCTCTCTCTCCCTCTAAACTCTAGCAGCTCCCTCTCACCCTGAGGAGCAAACAAAAAATGCTCTGTTTGGTCTTCAATGCCCTTCATAACCTGACCCCCTCCCATCTTTCTAATCTTCTTACTCTCTGCCATATCTTCTTCAATGCAGTGACACTGGCCTCCCGGCTGTTTGGCCAACAAGACCATCTCTCGGGTCTGGCCATTCTCTCTACCTGACCCCATGTCTGTAATGTTCTCCCTCCTCCACTTCACCTACTGACCTCTCTGGCTTCCTTCAAGTCCCAATTAAAATCCCATCTTTTACAGGAGGCTTTCCCCAACCCCCTCTTAATTCTACCACCTTCCTTCTGTTCATTATTTTCTATTTATCCTCTACATAGTTTGCTTTGTATGTACATTTGTTTGCATGTTGTCTCCTCCATTAGACCATGAGCTCCTTGAAGACAGGGATTCTGCTTTTCTTTGTATCCCTAGAGCTCAAAACAATACCTGGCACACAGTAGGCACTTAATAAATGCTTGCTGAGTGACATGCATGATGATCCAGCAAAGTAATGGAATCACAGATTTTAAGCTGAAAGAGACCTGAAAGGTCTCAAACAAAAAGAAAAAAACTCAAACTTTTTTCGATTAATATAAAAAATGTTTTTCTCCCTTGTAGAAAAGGGGAAAAAAAAACATCATCAAGGAAAAAAAACAAATTCCCACATTGGCCTCGTTTAAAACCTGTGTCTCATTCTTCACCCTGAAACCATCACCAAGCATGTTCATGCAGTGACAGAGTTCTTAAGTCTTTCAAAATTGTTTGTGTTTACAATGTCGTTATTAGTTTCAACTGTTCTTCTGGTTCTGCTCACTTCACTCAGCACAGGTTTATATAAGTCTTCCAAAGTTTCTCTGAAACTGACCTTTACAGCATGGTATTCATATGCCATAATTTGTTCAGTCATTTCCCAACTGATGGACACCCCCTTAGTATCAAGTTCTCTGCCACAACAAAAAGATTTGCTATAAATATTCTGGGTCTCTTCCTTTCATCTCTTCGCAGTATATATAGCCTGGCAGTAGTACTACCAAGTCAAAAGGCGTGCACAGTTTACTAACTTTTTGGACTTAATTTCAGTTCCACCAGTTGTGCATTAATGAGTCTGCTTTCCCTGCAGCCCCTCCAACATCCATCATCTTCTTTCTGTGTCCACTTTGTCAATTTGATGAGTCTAAGGTAACACCTCAGAGTTGCTTTAATTTGCACTGATCTATTAGAGATAGGAAACATTTCTTCATGACTCTCACTAGCTCAGATGTCCTCTTCTGAATTCTGCCTGTTCGGAATCTCTGACCACTTATAAATGAGGAATGGCTCTTATTTTTTAAAATTTCAATCAGTTCCTTATGTATCTCAAAAATGAGACCTTTATCAGAGAAACTTGAGGCAAAATTTTATTTCCAATTACCCATTTCCCTACTCATTTGAGCTACGCTGATTTTGTTTTGCAAAATCTTTTCAATTTCATGTAACTCTATGAAATTATCCTCTGCTCTCCTCTCTTTATTTGCCTGATCATGAGTGCTTTCATTTCCATAGCTACAACAGGAAATTTCTTCTTTGCTCCTCTAAATTGTTTATGATATGATCATTTATGTTTAAGTTACATATCCCCTTCTCTTGGCATAATGATATGAGGTATTAGGCTAAATCTAATTTCTGTCAGTAGGCTCTCCAGTTTCCCCAACAGTTTTTGTTGATTAATGAAGCTTTACTCAAAGGCGGGATCTTTGACTACATGGGTCCATTGTTTGTGTATATAGATACTTAACACTTGTTGACTGATTGATTAAAACAATAATATGTTCCATTTCCATTATGTTGAGTTTGAAATGTCTCTGGTTCATTCAATTTGAAATGTCCAACAGCCAGTGACGTGGGACTGTGGCTTGAGGGAGAAACTGGAACTGGACACACTGTGAGTCATCTATACAGAAATAATCATTAAACCAGTGGGATCGTGGGAGGTCACTTTGAGAAAAGGAAAGATGGACCAGGATAAATCTTGAACATCCACAGTTAGGGGGCATTATATGGATGAAGAGACAGTAAGGGAGAATGAATAAGCAATGAGAAAATCAGGATCTAGAGATGAAAAGGAGTTCAAAGACCATCTCATCTAAACCCCTCATCTGACACATGAGGAAACTAAGGCCCAAAAAAGTTAAATGACTTGCCCAAAGTCATGCAGACAACAGGCATCAGACTTGGAAAACAACCAAGTTCTCTGACTCCACATCCAGTGCCCTTTCTACTGTCCCATGCCAACTATCTCATCATGTTAATTGTCATTTTATTGATTAATTGATTTTACCTTGCAGTTGGAGGGGCTGGCCTGCAGTGAGCTGTCGGAGCTGACTATGTGACAAGGTAAACTTGTTCCCTTGAAACTGCAGGGTCACAGGGGTCTCCGGCTGAGCTACTCGATTCTGTGTCCCTGCTATGGAAGCCAGCTGGGCAATTTTCACAACCTCTCCACCTGTTAAAATGTAATACTTTGTGAAAGCCTGAAAATGTTACACTGATATACAAGCATCACCACAAATCAGCAAGTATAAAAGACAGATACCACAGGAACATTCAGCAGGCATTGCTTTCTAATACTTTTAGAAAATAATGCTCTTTTAAAAGTATAAAAACTAAGGATACCAGTTTAAAATATCAAACTTAGCTCTGGTCAATCTATTTAAACAAAACTGGCAGAGATTTTAGCTACCCATTTTGACAACCCATTTTTGAACCAAACTATGAAGAATGTCTTCACTTTACTCTGCCCAATTACAAACTCAGAAAGCACATTATTTTAGACTAAGAAGTAAAAAACAAGGATCGTGCATTTGCTCGTATACTCTATTTGCAATGTACCAGGAAGCTCGCATATCAACCTATGATCTTCAGAAGCTCTCATAATGTAAAAATTCACAATTTTTCAATCCAACTCCATGGAGAGATTTCATAGAGTTAAGATAAGAACATTACATCCTGAAGAAAGATTAGATAACTATTTCAATAGCAAAACCTGTTCAAAATTTGGGTATAGTATAAACAATACCAACTGATATATACGTTACTCAAAACGTTAAGTTTCACATTTTCACCACATTTTCCGACATTTGGTGTTACATTTTTTTTGAAAGCTATGAGATAAAATGTGAAACTGCTTATGTTGTTTAAAATGCTTGCTTTACTTGAAAAGCAAATGAAATGAAACCCAAGGTGTAACATGTAAACAGGCTCAGAAGGTAGTGTTACACAGGTTTTAACAGGAGAAGCTTTTTCTTTTTTTAATACACTGGTTGATATTCGAGTCTCAATGTTCCTCCCAAGGAAGTCAAGACCAGGCTTATTAGTGGTGCGATATAGAGAACAGTTAGTAAAGAACATTGGCCTAAAGGCATCTCAGGAAGAGGAACAGAAGAAGGAAACTGAAACAGGACTCAGAGAAATCCCCAGCCGCTGTTGTCCTTCCTCAGTTCACAAGTCATAACTCAACTTGAACTAACCCGGGCTGGAGAATGTCTAGACCATTTGTCTTTCAATGCAACCAAGCACCTTCCTCTCAGCCTCAAGACAGATAAATAAAGGACTCATTTGTGCAAAGGGGACTAGCCTTGAAAGTGTGTGAGATGGCGATGTTCAACTGGCCCTCATCTTTAAGACAAATAAAGGCAGGCAAGGTCACAAGCTGGGACTGGCACCAAGGAGACATGTGAGGGCAGCTTGAAAATGGACGAGTCTCTTTACACTCACTAATTCACCTGGTTTTCCTCCATCCAGAGAAGCCTTTGCACAATTTTGCTACTCAAAAATACCCATGGCAGAATGAAAAGAAGAGAGTGTGTATCTGTGTGTGTGTAAATATTATAACATTTCTGATTCTGAATATTCACTCCAAGCTTAAATTTGACAGAGAACACCCTACTAAAAAGAAATGATCTTTTTTTTTTTTAAAAGAAAAAACCTAAAGCCAATTCACATAGTGGGAAAAGAACTAAAATTTAGATCCATTAACTTTCATTTGATTAAACTGGTTCTGTTATGACAGCTGAGCCATGGAATCGACACACCAAAACATTGATTCCTACTCATCCCCATACTATACCCTAGCACACCAAAGCAGCACAGTGAGCAGCTTGAGGAAAGCATAGAGTCTAATGTATGGGGACAGGAAGACAGAATAAGAGAGAGGGAAAGAAGGTCCTGTTGACTGACCTCTTGGGAGAAATCACTCTCCCCTCTACGTTATGGCAGGAAATGATGTACTGGCTAGAGGCAGTACATCAGACAAGGGCTCAGGGAAAAGAAAAAGTTAAGTGACAGTAAAGGCTTGGCATACATTCTAATGTTCTTAGTACAACCTCTTGGGAGTAAAAAGTTGGGGAAAACCTGGAAAGGGGAGGCCACTTACTAGGCAACCGTGCCTGGGCCTGAGAGGTCAGTACCAGCCTCTGAGGAAGCACACTCTGTTGGATGGTGTGCGAGGGGGCCTGGGGCTGGGGCTGGGTCTGGCCTAGCTGGGAGGCCTGGGCTGAGTTCTGACCCCGCTGTTTCACAGGATTGGCTGTGCTAGTTGCTGTGGTGAAGGTCGCTGCTGGCTGGTGTCTTGGAGCACCGGTAGGAGCCTGAGATGTCTGAAACTGTGCTGCGGCCGCTGTAATCAATAAGGTTTGTTTGTGCAAAGCTGTTAGAGGTTCTTAATCAAGGACAATATTTCAAACCGGTATTTTAAAGAAATAAAAAGGAAAAAAAATTATTTTGCATTTTTTTCTCAAATGAGAACTCCTCTCTTTTCCAGGACAGGCCTAATACAGCCTATGGAATATGAGAGAAATACTGTATTTTATTAATTCTTACTAAATATTTTTACTTAAGAGCTCATCAACAATCTTAATAGTACATTTTCAGAGTTGTGGGAAATTAATATTGAGACTAATCCAATCATGTTGTTAACCTAAACACTGAATACAAACTATTTTCTGAAGAGTTAAGTACAAATATAAATTTCACTTTCATGTTTTTTCAAAGGATCCTTGTATCCAGGGATAACTGATTTTGTAATCTGCACCTCAGGGAAGTTTGATGGAAATAAGACTGAAAACCTTATGCTTGAAAGTTAAATTATACTTTTACTTTTTTGCCATTTAATTCTATCCCTTTTAAAAAACACAATCCATTTATATTTAAAGATATCACACAAAATTTACAAAATCAAGATTATGAGGTTTCAATAATTTTAAAGATAAAATACACATCAAACATGGTTAAATAAACACTTGCCTACACAAGCTCAATTTTTGCTTTATTTTTCTGCATCACTATTAGTAAAAGGAAAATTCCAGATAAATGATCAATTCTGTCATTTGGCCAAAAGAAAGGCTCAGAACAATATATATTGTATCTCCAGGGTGGTGAACCATGTGGACAGCTTCCCTCATATGTATGCATGTAATTACAAGGCCTACAGCAAAACCATTCTTATAAAACCACTCTAAAAAGTTAGCACTTAATTTGATCCTTGGGAACTTCTGGGAAAAAAAGAAATGAAGCTACTACAGAAATACCTTTTGCATCCTGATTGGCTGAGAACGTGGCAATAGGTGATCTTCCTCGAACTTGCCCCTGGGATGTTACGGCGGCGGCAGCAGCAGCAGCTGCTGCAGACACTGTACGTGAGGAGCTCTGTGTACTTGGGAACACTACTGTTCTACCCTCAGGCTTCTGTCCATACTGCACAGGTTGAAACAACCTACACACACGTTTACCAAGATAAAATGCAAAGAGCAAGTTAGAGTTCAAGGACAACAGAAAACATATTCTTTCATACAAATGAAAAAGTACTTCTGGTTGCAAAAGGGTCTTGTTTATGAAGATTTAAAACATGTTTATTCCTGATTATAAAAAGATCATATATATATATATGTATAAAAAAAACTCTTGTTGCTATGAAGGCTTATTGATATTGGGTAACTGTACATGAATGAGTCAATTTCAAACATCACTCAATTTCAGATATCAAAGAAGCAATTCCATTTAATTTCAGCAAAATCTCACTAATTTGTGCTCTCTGAATTATAGAGTAACTCTTAAAGATTCTCTTATTACTTTCAAATACATAAATGCTTCCAAGAAGAGATCTTATTGGTCTGCTTTTAGGAAGTGATATGACTGATCTGTAATTAGCAGTACCAGTTTTTACAAAAATAATACACAAAAGAAACTAAATGCTTCCTTAAGTGAGCTATATATACAGTGTCCTCTACAACCTGTCACTAATAATTTGCATGGAAAAGTAGGACCTTCCAAAAGGTGTTGAGATAGTTTAAAGGTAAAGTTATACCTAGCACAGGTCAAACAAAGGATTCTAATTTCCAAATGATGGTAGTCTACATCACAGAGGTTTTGCTACATTTCAGGATACTATTAAGGAAAGGGAGTAAAAAAGAAGGGTTTTGCAATGGAATATTTATTAATCTGGTTATTAATGTGCTCAAAGTCTAACAGTTTAGGATATGCTAAAGAGTAGGGCTAAAACTTCGGGCTAATAACAATTTACTGAGTACTAGGTTTTCTTGGCAAAGATGTTAGAGTGGTTTGCCATTTCCTTTTCCAGTTCATTTTACAAATGAGAAACCTGAGGTAAACAGCTTAGTTAAGTGACTTGTGAAGGGTCACATTGCTAGTGAGTGCTTGAAGATAGATTTGAACACAGGTCTTCCTGACTCTAGGCCTGGTGCTTTATCCACTGCATCACCTAGCTGCCCCTACAGATTATGATATAGTGGATTTAATTTCACCTTTTCTCAATGACTTGGTGTCTTCAGTATAGAGGATGGAGGATACCTAACAAAGGCTGATAAGAATTTAATTGTCAGGTATCTTACAAATCTAATCAAAAGCTCTTTAAACTAAAAAAGATGAGGAAGGGAGAAGATTATCTGTTTATATCCCCCAGGTTAGGTACTGCAGAGAGTAACTACAAAGAAAACAGAAATACGGTAGTGGAAACACCCATCAATTCATAGCAGGTCAAATACAAAAAAGAAGACAAAAATGAAGCCCAAGGTCTTAAATGTCTGTACAAAATGCCCAAAGTTTAGGCAACAAACAAGAGGAACTAGAGGTACTAATCAGAGAGAACCTAAGAATTCATTCATTCTAATCTCTTCACTTTAGCAATGAGGAAACTGAGGCAGCTGGGCCCAAACAACTTATTCGAAGTTATGGGGCTCATTAACCCTAGAATACTGGTGTCCTGAGTAAGCCTAGGTTGCTTCCACTATACCACCAAACAATCCCTTAATCAGGGAAAACCTATCCTCTTCTAAAAGGTGGGAAGAATTTCAGCACTGTCTTCCTACTAAACATTTTTTATTATAATCTCACATTTAATACACAACTTACTTGCTTGGCTTAAGTTTCACTGCATTAGGTCTGGCTGGTGCTGGTGATGAACTGAAGATTTCTTCTATAAGTTTTCGAGTTATCTTTTTCTTTGACAACACTTGTGCCTCATAGTGAGTGGTTTTATTTTCTAATCCAATTAGATCAAATATGGAAAGATCTGCTTCCTAATTTAAAAAAAAGGAAAAGAGAAGAAGCACTTACCTCATATACTCAGTACCTTTAGATGTCAAGAAAATAATGTTCACCCTACTGGCATCTTGTGACCTGCTGGCATCCCTATCCCCTAGACCCTCCCCACTCCAATGTATTTAGTACTCTGCTGCCAAACTCATCTTTTTGCTCTCCATATGCCACACTTACCTGAAAAGCATGCAACAGATTTCTATTTCCAAACTATTCTAGCTAGCTCTTGAGGTGCCTATTCCAAATGGGCTGGTTCCCTCACTATGTCCCTGCCTTCTCCCAGCTCCCCACAAACTAAATAGCAGCAAGTCACTGTAATCTTTCCCAGCCTTACACTGACTCCCAAGTAAGAACACTGAGACAAAAGAAGTAAAGGATATCACTAGGCTCAATACTATTTACGAAGCATCTGTTATGATATGCCTGTTATCATAAGCTTTTTAATACTTCCTTAACTCTCCTCTTTAGATTGGTTATTTTAAATCCCTTACTGACCTCCCTGAAGTTAATAGCAGTTATGGAACCTAAAGAAAAGTTATATGCTTATTTTATAAAAAGTAAATTGGTGGTGAGGAGCAAGAAACCAGACGAAAGAAATATAGTGACCCCTATATAAAGCAAATAGATCAATATCTGAGGCTGGAAAGAAAAAATGGGATGGCCAACAAGATGACAATAAATTTTCCAAGGGGTTCACACAATGGCAGGTGGTCTAATGTTGTGGAACAACAATGGAATTACAGATGAGGGGAACATTAAACATTTTTTCCTTTCACCTGGAATTCCCCACCCCCTTCCCTTCCCACTATTTTACTGCATTTTTCTATTGTGTTGCTTCTGTTAATCTTATCTGGAATACAGTGCATACCACAGGGCTAAGCATACATCCACCATTCAATAAATGTGATGGTGTGACAGAATGACTTTAGAGAATCCCACTCTAAACACTGTGGTTTAGTTCAGGCAATCATTCTCCAGTACAAACTAACATCTCCACAAGGTATCCACTCCTTAAACACACACACACTTCACTTCTACTGTTTTAATAAAATTTATGAATTTTCTACTCACCTTCCAAAAACCACATTCCAATGCCTTTAAAATCAGAGAAGCAGATCTATACTCCAGTGTTTCCAAAACATAAGAAGAGCCGGGAAGCCTAGGATCTATCAGACCAGGATGATTGCATATCCTCTGAAGTTTCATCAGAATATTCAGCACATTGACAAAATGTCCACTTTTAAGAGCCTCTTGAGTTCTGTTCATTTAAGAAAAAGAGTGATAAGCTATCTAGTTCAATTTACATATGGACTTTCAATAGATTATTTACTCTTCTCCTATTTACTGAAAAATAATTATGTATTACATTCTCTCCAAAATAGGTTAGCAACCGCTTAAAGGCATAATTGTCAAGTTTGGATTCCTACCAATTCCAATGTTTATCTGTTGCAGAAGAGGAAATGTTGAATGTACACTCCAAACCTGCAGAATTACATTCCCAGACCAGAAGGTTTGGAAGGGATCAAAGGTACCTTAGAGATCTCTCTTGGTTCAACATCCCCACCTCCTCTTCCTTCCCCCCATCCACACAGCCAGTTTTACAGAAGATAAAATTGAGGTAAAAAAGTGGGAAAGTGAATTTTCCACAGGCACTAAGTTAGCAGTAATAAGTAGCAGAGCTGAATTTTCAAAAACCAGTCCTGTGCCTCTGAATGCAAAGCTCTTCCCACTAAAGCAAGCTGCATGAGTAAGGACACTTACTAAGTGAGTCACTGTACAATGCCATTTCTTTTCAAGTCACCTTATAACATCATGTCTCTCTCCCTGCAGTGGGTGCTCTTACCTGGGCTGCAAGATAACATCCTCATACAAGGCCTTCTGCCGACTGGAAAGGCGACACTTTAACACATGTTCGTATTTTTTTGTCAGCTGCTTGTCAACATCCCTTTTAGTTCTTCTCAAAATAAATGGCTGAGTCACCTGAAAAAATATAATACACACTTCCTTGTGAGTCTTCTTCTTAGGAACTATGCTACACATTCACTTAGAGCAAAAATTAATTTTTAAAAGTAGCTGAAAAAAGTAGCATGACATACTCTGTGCAACCTTATGACCACTTTATGGTAGTAATCTTGGCTCTCCTCATTAGCTGGTTTTACTGGAAAGTTCTGATAAGGTCTAGAAATTCCAGGAATCAAAAAGTGTACCATGGTCCACAATTCCATCAAGGTGTTATGCAAAGGTGTGTCTATCAGGAGCAGACGTAACTGGCTATAAATAAACCAAGAAATAAACACTGTTTGAAACACTACCATACATAATTTTTTCTGTGCTAAAGATTTTAAGAAAAGAGTAAGCAGCCATCTTTTTTGGGAAATGTATGTGTAGGCCTGCCTGGAAGAAATAAAACAGACAAGATAACCTAGTGAGACTTCTATCCCTGCTGCTCTATAATTAGAACTGAAAAGTAACTGTAGAGAATTGACATTTCTTTCTTTCTTTCTTTCTTTTTTTTTAAGGCAATCGGGGTTAAGTGACTTGCCCAGGGTCACACAGCTAGTAAGTGTCAAGTGTTTGGTCTGAGGCTGGATTTGAACTCAGGTTCTCCTGACTTCAGGGCCGGTGCTCTATCCACTGCGCCACCTAGCTGCCCCTAGAACTGACATTTCTTTAAAAGACAACTTTTAGGGGCAGCTAGGTGGCGCAGTGGATAGAGCACCGGCCCTGGATTCAGGAGGACCTGAGTTCAAATCCGACCTCAGACACATAACACTTACTAGCTGTGTGACCCTGGGCAAGTCATTTAACGCCACTGCCTACCCTTAAAAAAAAAAAAGACAACTTTTAAAAATCAACATGCATTTAATTACATAAAAGTCCAGAATTACTTAGAAGAAAAAATACTTTATTGAAGTGTCCAACCTTCGTAGATTGAAAACTGCCTCCCAGTGCTTCTCAGTCATGTTCTTTACTTGTTGCATCTCATCAATGACTAAATATTTCCACCTCACTTTCATGAAGGCGTGATGGCCTTTAAAGAACTGTTTATAAGAGGTTATGCATATGTTGAAGTTGTTGGGTTCAGTCCATTCCTGTAGTATACAAAATAAATCTTAAACATTTTGTTCTGATTTCCTTTTTTTTTTAAATGGACAAATATTCCTAAGGATTCCAAGAGCAATTCCTTGCTACAGAATTAAATTAGTCACAACTGCAGTCATGGAGTTCCTTAACAACTGGCCCATATCTATACAGAAAACAGCAAATGGTTTCTATTTGGCATTTAAGTGCCATTTTCTAATGTAGTCATCCCAGGAACTTTCACTGACTCATTAAGCAGAGGATTGGCAGACATTATCATATCAGAAACCACTGATTCCCTCTGAATTTTGGAAATAAAATTATCAGAGCCCATTCTATGGTGCCATGTGAGCAACAGCAAAGATGGTTTACAAAGATATTAAAGTGAGATGAAATGTGACCGTAACCTTTAAACTTTGTGGAGAAGATTCGTGTTTTGGGATGGGAGGGTTCTTAACCTTGGGTTCCATAGACTCCGAAAGGATTCATGGACAGATTTCAGAGAGTCTGTCAACTTGAATGGGAAAAAAATATTATATCTTTATTTTCACTAACCTTTAGTTTCCTTTGTAATTTTATGTATTTTATTTTACTCATTTAAAAATATTATTCTGAGAAGGGGTACATAAGTTTCACCACAATGACTGCCAAAGGGCTCATGCCACAAAAAAGATTAAAAACCTATGAATTATATGGTCTCTGCAGACCTATCTATTGCTATGATTCTATGCTATCATAATAAACTAATGGACAATCTTAAATTGTAGGATTAATAATTCAAGATGTAAAAATAAAAGTTTTAGTGCAGACTTAAGGCTTAATAGCTTAAGCCCAGGGGCAAGGAACCTGAAGCCTAGAGGCAACACATGGCCCTCTAGGTCCCCAAATGCAGCCCTTTGACTGAACCCAAACTTCACAGAACAAATCCCTTTGATAACAGGATTTGTTCTATAAAACCTGGACTCAGTCAAAAGGCCACACCCAAGGCCCTACAAGGCCCCATGCGGCCTCAAAGCCACAGGTTCCCCACCCCTGGTTTAGGCTATTATATGAAAAGGCCTTGCTAGTAATTTAGGAATTTTCTTTTTAGAAAGGAAAGTCAATTTTTCAATGTAACTGCAGTCTTCCGGGTTGGAGAGTGGCAACAGGGAAGAAATGGGTCCAAGTCGTGCCTTTGACAAATATCACCCATCTGTGTGACTCTGGACAAATCACTCTTCACGTCCCAAGCAACTCTCTACAACTTTAAGCGGCAGAACAGTTAGCTGCTGGTCTGCACTGGCTGAGTGAAGGTCATCACCAGAAATTCCCTATACCAATATTTGAGATTCCATTAATTTACCTACTACACGCCAGGCACTTCAACAGACTCAAGAGAAATACATAATGTCTCCAAATTGTAAAAAGGCAGTGCTCCAAAAATTCATAAAGTGGTTATGGGACATTAAGGACATTGTTGTTATAGAAACAATGCCATAAGTGGTGGCTAGATTCCTAAGGCTAGTCCCAAAAGCCGTTTAACTTATAAATACTGTATTTCAGCTACATGATGAGTTAGATAGTATTCTTTGAGGTGCCTAATCACCACAGACAACACTGTACTTCAAGGATCAGTGATTTTCTAAGTGCAGAGTAATCAACACAAGGATTGCAAATCATCCACATTTCAGTAATAGGTTTCTATAGCTAAAACAATTAATCACCTGATGGCCAACTCTGGTCGTAAGACTGAACTGAGCTAAACTGGTACTCAGAAAAGAGACTGTAATCTTGAAAAGTTGGTAGGACCTGAATTTGTGCTCCACTGGCAAAGCCTTCTAGAATCCAGAGTTACCACCTTCACATTACAGTAAGGCATTGAAATAGTACTTTCTTAAGCTTCTGGCATTTTATTGCTAGGGAAATCTCTTTAATTTCTAATTCCTACTGACTACCTGTCAAGAAAGGACACAGCAACTAGAGGAATATTTTTCATAATCCAGGCAGAAACCATATCTCACCATACACACCTCTCCCATCTATGCCATCCCAGAAATCAGACCATTTGTATGTATACTGGATCTTTGCAAATCAAAATCTCTACCCTCAAAGAGCTTACAATTCAGTAATAATTTCACAGAATTACAGCATCTCACAGTTGGAAGGGCCTTCAGAGGCCATTTCTTCCAACCTCAAACCCAAACACAACCCAAATTCAAGAAGCTGGATGACCTTCAAACCCCTGCCTTAAGACATCCAGGAGAAACCCAGCATATTCCATTATACCCTCTTTAAAAGATGTCCTCTGAAACTATAAAATAAGCCATTAAAAATTACATTCTTGGCCATGTGTTATCTCAGTTTTATACTGCTCTTATAAACATGAATTTCCTTTTTAAATTAAAAAATAATAACAATACCTGTCTCTTTGCTTTAAGTTCTCTATGACTGCCAAAGTATAAAAGGATTTTTAGCCCTGGGCACCAACGTTTCAATTCAAGCTCCCATTTTAGCATGTTGCAACTTCTCACAACCACAAGGTGGGGCCCCCAGTTACCTGCAAAAACAAAGAGGATTCTCACTGTACAGAGCTGTGATAGGGTTTCAAACATTTTAACTAAAATGCTAAATAAATTGTAAGATCACAAATAAATGCTAACATTGAATAGGTAGAGTTGTTACTCTTTAATGTTTACCATTAAAAACACTTATCTCATAAACAAGGGTGTTCTTAGCTATGCATTGCCACAGTTTGGAAACAATCCCAAGATCTGATCAGATGCTAATTAATAGGTCTGTGATCACATCAAGGCGCAGGTATTCCATCCAACAATGAAGATCGGTGACTCATGTCTGCCTGCACAGCCTGTGTAACTCTCCCATGTGACTCTCATCCACATTCTCCCATAATAATTACCATTAAAACACCTACTCAGTTGTTAAGAGGGGTAACTCATGGCTAAGAGCACTATGTTCTTATAGCGTTTAGTCAAAGGATGTCAAACTATATTCTTATAATGATAGTCAAAGGATGGGCAGACAGGGGTGGGTTTCAATCTACATATAGGAGGGAATATCCACTCTGATGGGATGACAGATGCACTGGTTACTAAGTTCTTTGTAAAGATGAGGCAATCAAAAGTTTGGAGAGTCAACTAAGTCTAAGGTTGGCCAAAGATCTTTGACAACCTCAACTAAATCTATACAAAAGATCATCCACTTAAAGTCAAGAAGCATCACTGGGAGCTAAAGAAATATCATACATGGTCTAATTTCTTGAAATTCTTATTTGCTAGGCTAAGTGCTCATACTAGTGTGAATAATCAGTCAATAAATATTTATTAAGCATGCACTGTGCTAAGTGCTGGCTTAGCTGAATAAGTGAGTACCTCCTTCCATTTAAAGCCTATATCCATTCTATCTTCCTCTCAGAGAGGTGAAGGAAAGGAGAATTCTCACTTCTCCAGGTAATCAGCTTCTCTATCTAACACTATAAAACCAAGGAATCATCTCTATTCCTCTATCCTAGTTATTGAAAACAGAGAGGAGGGAAAACATGGCATCAGGTGCTTAAATGATACTGCTCTCTACACAATCACAGGGCATGTGACTGCCCACTTTCCTTTGCCTCTTACATTGGGAAGCAGCATGTTATAATGGTAAAAAGCAATGAACCAGGAGCCAGACCACCTGAATTCTCCAAGGTCTATGGGATAAATCACTTTGGCTCTGTGAGTTTTGGTTTACTCATTTATAAAATGTAGATAACACGTGTACTCTCTACTTCACAGAACTGTTGAGAAAAGTGCATCTTAAACATAAAGAATAATAATAAATGAGACTTATGATTAGCATCATCACCAAAAACATCAAGAATAAAAAAGTATATACTATCCCAAGATCATGGACTGAGACGCTAAAGAAACCATAAAGGCCATCAAACTCAACCCCTCATTTTTATAGATGAGGAAACTGAGGTACAGTTAAATGACTTGACCAAAGCCACACAGCTACTAAGGATATGAGGCAAAATTTGAACTCAGGTCTCCCTGACTCCCAACTCCAGTGCCCCAATCCATACTGCCATGAGCTTGACAATGTGAAAAATACTGTAAATAATTTCAGCATGTGTATATTACATAGATATTCCTAATAAGAAAAAAAATTACACTGCTGTATTTCAAAATACTTATTTCTTTTGCTTTGATTAGGAAACACTATATAATTGTGCCTGCATTTCATAAGAACATTTAAGTTTCATGAGAGTCAGTGTGGTAACACAGTGGACAGAAAAATGATGCAGAAGCAAGGAACACCTGGTTTCAAGCTCCACCTCTGACACAACAAAGCTACATGACTGCCAGCCAGGCACTTAAGCTCTCAGTTGCCAGACAACTCTCTAAGCCTAAATTGAAAAGAAAGGCACCAATCTATACTGGTAGAAGTTTCATTCCAGAGTTGATATTACAAAGCCAGTCCCTATCCCTAGCCTTATCACAATTTCAGGTTCTGAATTACAGCATCAGGTCTGTCAACATTTTAATAAGTTAAGACTGTAAAGAGAAACATTAAATACTGCTTATTCCAATCAAAGTTTAAATAGAAGAATAATTCATTTTTTTGCTCACTGTTCTTCCTACTAGGACGATAAGAGTTAGCACAAGACTCTGCAGTAACATTTCAGTTACTAGTAACGTTTGTTCAAAGTTTCATGCCCTTACATCATTAGCCTGAGGCTATGTTCAGGATTCACTAAAACACCCACCCACACACTCACATGCATCCCTACTCCCCTTCAAGTATGAACAATTAAGTAAATCATGAAAGAAAAACTACCAAAAAAACAAGGGTATGAGCCTAGAATAGTGCATCAGGATAAGAGCATTAGGGTACGAGAAACTAGAAACTTAGCTGGAGGGTTACATTAGCCATAGAAGAAAAAACACACTGAGTAGAAAAGGAAGGCTAGCTGAAAAACTTACAGTACATTTGGAACATACGGTGCAATTATCCCTCCAGGTACAGTGTTCCCCATGATTCACTGGGTTATCTCGGTGACATGGGAGGAAGGAAGGAGAAGCTGAATAGAAGCTTTAAAAGTCCCAGAGACGGGGGTATTTACATTAACGCTACATACTTCACATTAGTCAAACTCTGGGTTTATTATTGGATATTAACTGATTAATATAGGACTTTAGCCTGATATTGAACTACACACACACACACACACACACACACACACACACACACGCCCCACATACACTGAAAGACATTAAAAACTAAAACCCTTACCTTCATTACAAGCTAGATGTGCAAAAAAGGCAATGACCTGCACAGTCTTGCCCAGCCCAGCATCATCTGCCAAGATGCCATTGAGATTCTTCCTGTAGAGTTTGGCTAACCAGTCCAGTCCAATCTTCTGGTACTCTCTTAGTGCTCCGTACAACAAAGACGGGGTATTAAAATTGATCTGTAGAAATCACATACAAACTATTAAAGAATGCTACAAAGACAGGCATGTGGAACACCACATATAACGTCAGGCTTTTACCACAGTTTCAAAGAACTGCTTTTTTTATTAAGACATTACTCTCTGGGAGGAAGCAAAAGGAATATACTGTAAATTGTAGGTGATATAAAAATAAAATATATCCAAAAAAAGCTTGTTTTTGAAAAGCAAACTAAGAAAAATAAGGAAGGATACCTTGTAGAAAACACAAACAGCTTTTTAAAAGATTATTAAAATATAATTTCTTAAGTATAAAGTCACCAGATCCAGGAAGTTAAAAAAATTATTCTAACAAGAAAAGTACACTGTAAGCTTTTATGTCCTATTTAAAATACCAAGAAAAAGTCACTATATTCACATTATCTGTTGCCTTTTGGATTAGAAGGCAAAAATTTGTTGGGGGAAAAGGCCCACCCTTTCCTCACATCCTATCCCTAGACCCTATTTGCTCTTCCCAGCCTTTATATATAAGAACTATAAGCATTACCGAGGTTGTGATCCGAGCACTGCCCTTGGGCAGTACAGCCTCTGCCAGAGCAGCTACTTCAGTAATGTCTCTTGTGTTTGGTTTCATAATATTTGGTCTCTCCACACCTTTACACTGATCGATGATGAGAAGTGAATCAATGAGAACCATTTCCTTCTGACAAACTCTGTCACCTGTAGAGTCTTCTGTGTCTAGAAAATGCAACAAAGTTCGTGAGACTGCAGCAAGTCATAATTTTATGAATGGACTTCTAACATCCAAAAGGACAAAGAAAAACAATACACTGCAAAGAAAGGATGAAAAAGAAGACAATTACCTGCCTCAGACACTCATAAATAAAATATTAAAATATTAAAAATAAATAAAAAGGTAAAAAGATGAGCTGTTCTCAGAGAAAGTTAAAATCGTGAGCTCCCAAAAACCAGGTTTATCAAACCTGACCACACCAAGATAATCCAGGACAACTCCTTGCAGTCAGTGCCCAACATACTGAAGAAGTGTGCAATATGACTTTTTTATAGCTGTGTAACAAGTGACTAAAGGAGCAATATAAACTTTTGCACTAAAATTAGGCACTAACCTCCCAAATGAAAATAACCCAAAGCTCCAGCAACCCCCTGCAAATAAACAACACACTTCTTCCACAGTGTGCAGAGAGGACAAAGCACTTCACCACCTACCCAAATGTGAAGCTACATAGAACAGACCCTAATTTTCCCTGAAAGCCTATCTGTACTTGATACTCCAGCCCTACTGGGCCAACCAAAGCCCTTGTCCACAGATAAAGAGATTTCCTTCCCTCCAACCTTTTGTTTCCCTTCATCCATACAGTCCCCACACATTTATGTTAAAACAGCAACCATAACATTTTAGCAGGAGATTAGAATAAACAGCGACTAAATGCCCATTAGTGGTCTGATGTCATTGAAAGAGATCTCCAGTGGACTGTCAAGGAATCTGAGCTCAACTCTATGCTTTTTACCATTTTTATCACAGACTTGGATAAAGGCATATGTGATATGCTCATCAAATTTCCAGGTAACACAAAGCTAACAAGAATAGCTATCAAGTTGAACGATGGTTAAGATACAAAAAGAAAAAAAAACAGGCTACAATGATAGGCCTCATTTGAGATCAAAGTGAAGAGTAATAAATGCAAAGTCTTACACTTGGTTAAAAGAGTCAACTTCACAACTGGCAAGACAACAGTTCATCTGAAAAAGACCTGACAGCTTTAGTATACTGGAAGTTCAAACTCAACTGTGCTATGGAACCCAAGAAAAGGAACATACCAATGAAGAAGAAGAGAAGGGGGGAGGAAGAAGAAGAGGAAGAGCAAGAAGAGAAGGAAGAGGAAGAAGAGGAGGAAAAGGAAGAAGAGGAGGAAAAGGAAGAAGAGGAGGAAAAGGAAGAAGAGGAGGAAGAAGTTTCCAACTGCTAAAGCAAATGCATAATTTTTCAAACGCTATCCAGTTCATTCTCTTATTCCTATTCAATTACACACCCAGTTCACCCAACTTATATCTGTCCAAGACAAATGTACTGATACACAAACTCAAAAGAATGACCAACCAATTTTCACATCATAATATGTGCAACAGGCATTTTATCCATTTAGTTTTCTCCTATATGAACTATCAGATACATCTCTTTTGAATAATCACAGATCTCACTGAGAAGGTTCTCAGCACAACATCATCTGAAATAGGAGCTTTTGGAAGACTTCATACTCTGGTCAGCAGTAACCAAACATGACTTCAAAAGACTGCTGGTGTAAATTTCTTGACTCTTGACAAACATATATGATAGACCAGAGTCTACCCAAAGTAGATGTGTTAATTTATTTTGCTTAACTATACTTCTATTAGGAAAATTATAGCAGTGAAAAAATAAAATAAAATAAAATAGGAGGGGAATTCAGAAGAGGAACAAAAAAAGGTAATTTTATTACTACAGTATTAAATTTAATATTCACTTTTTTAAAAGAAACTGTGCCTAATGGGGGAAAAGGACCTACTCACCAACAATTCAGGCCTTACATAAGACATCCTCCATAATAAAGTTGAGTATCTTTGGCAGGTACAAATCTCCCTGTTTTATGCCTCAATTGAAGTTACTGATTGAAAGGTTTGTGAACAGTTATTATGATGGCTATTTACCATATATATGAGATAATCTTTTGAAGGAAAGACTTTAAAGATTACCTTTGCTCAAATGAAAATATATGCAAAATACTTTGTAAATTTAAAGCACTATACAAACTTGGCTAACATCACTACTGGGCAATTAGGTGGTACAGTGGATAGAGTGCCAGGCCTAGAGTCAGGAAGACTCATCTTCCTGAGCTCAAATCCAGCCTTAGACACGCAATAGCTGTCAGACTCTGCACCAGTCACTTAACCTTGCTGGCATGAGTTTCCTCATCTGTAAAATGAGCTAGAGAAGGAAATGGTAAACCATTATGGATTCCCAAGAAAATCCCAAATGGGGTCATGAAGAGTTGGACATGACTGAAATGACTGAACAACAACAACAAGAACATTACTATTGTTAGTTGTTCTGAGTCAAGGGGTTTTGTTTTCTGCTTTTGTAATCAACAATAAAACAATTACAGTGATGAAGTTTGGCCACAGAGAGGAGAAAATGCAATTCTCTCATCTCTGTCCAAAGGTGGGGAACCATCTGGGTTTTGATGAATTGCTTTTTTCCTCTCTATTTTTTATTCATTGTTACACGAGATGGTTCTCTGTGGAGAGAAAGAGAAAAAATGAATTTGCAAATAAAAATAATATAAAAAGAGAACTAATAAAAAAATTTTTTAATAATCACCATGGGATCTTGTATTCATTATACTTTTCAGCCAAATGAAGATCTATAAAGATGTGGCCTACACTAGAAAATTATTTATTTCCTGTTCCTTTCTGATATTTGCAATTCACATGCAAATTATTCACATCAAGATTTTATGAAGATGAGAAAGTAGGCATGAGTAAACAGTTATTGATGTTCTTGTGACTGCCTTTTGAGAAAAGTAATACTGTACATGGTTTTTCCATTCTAGTGCCATCTCTTGCCTTCCTGAATTAATCTTGTAAAAAGATCACTTAATGCATTCAAGATTCTGTCTGAATTATTTCTTCATATATGTGGTCTGGTTAAGCTGTATAGCATGTTTGATACTAAGGTGTTAGGGTCCAAATGTGGTTGGCTTTTCTGGATTTCCTAATAATGAAAAAATTTATAATTAATACTGACCAATTGCTCCATCTTATCACTAGTCTTTGTCCTTCTGCCATTTTATGAACACACTTGGAATGTCTTAAGTCACTTGAGCCTCAATGCAAGCTTTCATTTTCTACTACTTTTCACTGTTTGTAAGTGAATAATGTTTATAATCTTCCACCATCCTACTTCTTAGGGTTTATATTCAAAACAAGTACTGCCTCTGACTGACTTCCTTCTCTTTCTCACAAGATCAGAGCTGCACAGACCAAGATAATTTCAGAGCTCTTTTGGCTGCTAGATTATGGCAATTATTTTCCATCAGTTAAAAATCTACAGGAAATGGTGATACGGTCCATATTTCTGCTTTTTTAAAAAAATGTTAATTTTTCAACATTGACAATTCATTTTTAGAGTCAATGGAAACTTTTTCAATTGTGGATATTCTTAGGGGCAGCTAGGTGGCGTAATGGATAGAGCACCAGCCCTGGATTCAGGAGGACCTGAGTTCAAATCCGGCCTCAGACACATAACACTTACTAGCTGCGTGACCCTGGGCAAGTCACTTAATCCCACTGCCCAACCCAAAAAAAGACCCAATTGTGGATATTCCCATCTTTAGATTTCTAATTTGATGATGATACTGATCTTTGCTCTAATAGATGATCTTATTGCATACAAACAAATGATTCTGATTTAATTATCATCTTTATGCTGAAATTTTCAAATCTACTTAACAAGCCCAACCTCTCTGCCGACCCCCAATCTCATACCTCTAGCTGTCTCTCAGACATCTCAAGCTGGATGTCTAGCAGATATCTGAAGCCCAAGATGTCTAAAACAACTCATTCTCCTCCCCCAAAACTCTTTTCTTGTATTGTGAGATTTAGTAAACCATTGTATCAGAAGCTGTTAGAAAAGCAATTTCTCATAATCTGGAGGTGATCATGAATTATACTGTTAAAAGAAAGGAAAAAAAACAAATTGAAAACTGTCAGGCCATTTTATCAACCCTGCTGACCATCTGTTGTGATATTCTGAAGTACTGTAATTTTAAAAAATCATAAATTTTCAGGTTTGACTATATTTAAAAGGTAAGTTTCACCTAAAATTATTTGGTTATCACATATGAAAATTTTAAGAATATTTGTTAAATTATTAGGAGTTATTATAATAAGGCTAATTTAATTGGGTCTACTTTGGGCATAGCTTCACTTAGAATTTAGTTGTGGTAACTGGGAATTTATTTTGCTTACGGTACTTCTAGGATTCATGATACTTAAAAGACATTTTACACCATCTTAGCTTTGATAAATTAAAATTTGAAAGATTTATTTTTGCTTTAAGGGTTGAAAAAGAGATATATGTCAGTTTAGAGGTTTCCAGCTAATTTACTTCATGAAAAGTCTAGTGATCATCTTTTTATACGAGGGTAAATTTTAAGCTGTTTATGAGAAAAATACTTTTAGAAAGGAATGTTTAAGTAAAAATCTTTTATCTGTATGTTTAAGTTATAATCTTTGATGTAATTTTTAGAATGCCTGATAAATTTTATTTGTCAGTGAATTTATCGCAATAATTCGATGGTACTGCTAACATTTGTGTCCAGTCCTACTGTGATTAGTAAGACTTTACTGTCTGAGGTGAAACCTTTTTGGGGGCCCCTGAATATTCCTTTTTGAGCTTCATTCTTAGGTTTGTTGTGTCACTGGGCCAACCTCAAATGAACACTTGAAGAAAAATATCAGCAGTCAGCAACTCAATGGGAGTAACATCTGAGAACTAAGGCTAGTGAATATCTATCTCTGGGAATAAGGTAGGGAGGGTTACCTTGTGAAGGCTAAACTTGGACTCTCTTAATTCATTTTCTCATTCAAGAAACATGCTTGCTTGGCTCCATATGCTAGACTTATATTGCGTAGGCCTTTAGGAACAATACTGATGTGTTAAATTTATGTCCCTGTTTCTT